TATAAAAGAACCCTAAGAATAGAACCGGAATCTTTAATAAACAGTACACACAACAACACCACTAGTAAGACTCAAATTATCTGGCTAAATATCGTGATTAATTAGATAGGTTTACGCAAACGATCACAATAGTGAACCCTATATCACTACCTATTTAAGGAAATTATACAAAAATGATGATTACAGCTTCTAAAGAGGTGTCAGACACCTCTCGATTCCGATACCACCAAGAAATCAAGTATTGTAGTTGAGGGTTTGTCGTAATCTGAAACTACATCCTTTTCATGTGAATAAAGAACAAGTTTTAACCCCAGATCTTATGCCATTAACTATTTTACCTAAAGTATACCAACAATACTTCGAAGAATCTAAGGAAGTGATGTCACCAGACACTTTCCAGTCAGTGGCCCACGACGATTTTACGAGCGACGTCCCGTCACTCCTCTGAAAACCCAGCTGAACCTGAAAACCTTTCATGAATTGCTAATGGCGATGCGGAATACTTAACGAGGCCCGGACTGTGGTAGAGTTTATTTCAACTGTTATATAATTATCAACATATTCTTTTAATCATTAACATCAAATTTTGTGTAAATATCCCTTACACCTGGAATAGACAACATTTCCTCCTCCTTTTTCAATATTTCCTGTCTAATTTCATCATATATGACTTTTTCCTTCGCATAGATTTCTTCCTTTTCACACAATTGGATTAGTTTACCGTAAACAGAAAATTCCTTAATTTCTTTCTCAATCGCATCCAGCTTTTGTCTTAAATCTAGTGCTACTTCACAATTGCTATCACAGTACATTTTAAATACACCATCCATATTTCTTACTCCTTCAATTGTCATGTTTTTATACTGATCAATACTGATGATGTAAGTCAGGTTCTCTTTGATTTCAACATCTGTTGTTTCTTCATTTGCTAATCTTCTAATAATCACGTTAAACTTATTAATCCCATCAATTTGTTTCATCAATGTCTCTTTTCTCTCTTTCAATTTCTTTGCTTTGTCTTTCATTTCTTCTTTTTGATCTCCTACTTCAATTTCAGCATTTATTTTATCCAATAACGCATCAGTTAATTTTTTTTCAGCCTCAGGCAACTTGACCATACGCAAATTGGTAAGCGTGATAACACTTTGAAGCAATTGTTCACCTTCTTCGGGTTTGCTCTCAAAGTACTCCTTCAGATCATCGATGGTGCTCTGCATTTTAAATAAAACATATGAACACCTTATCACTGTAATCAGTTGCAATAACATGGGTTAATAAATGATTGTTCTTTTATACTTGTCTAATATTGAAAATCTAATACGAATACTCTTTTCACTGTTCCTGACAATATCCTTCTTTCAGCAGAATATATAAAGTATCTGTTTTCCATCATATTTTGACTTCTCCTTACCAAAATTATTGTTAACATGTCTTAAAATACCATATAATCATTCATACACCTAATTTTATGTTATTTTTCTAGAGTTTTTTAAACACCTCGTAAAACAATCACACTCATTTCATCCTTCTTTGAACATTCATTTTCATCCCCAATATGAAAAAAATGCTTTGCAACGACGTATGACAGATATTTCAGACATAGAAAAAGAATCTTCTGTCATACTGATAGTATTCATGCTATTGAATTATCAGAAACAGGCAAAATAATAGTAACTGCTGGTGAAGATGACTACGTAAATGTTATGGATTGTTACACATTTGAAAGAGCATTCATTAATACACCACACATTGAACCAATATTAGATCTAAAGATTGAGAATGAACAAGTATTGTATACCACAGGAATAGATGGTCAGACTCATGTATTCGATTTATACAAAGAAGCATTCATTAGGTCGTATCACACAGAAGGACGAAATACCAAAATATCTATAGACCAGAATTCAAGTACAATAGGAATAAGTAACAGCAAATCAATATTGTTCTATGATAGATGTTCACCAACACATAAATCAGTCAGCAAAATGATGATCAAAAACAACGATGATTGTAAAATGGATTTTAGGCCAAATTATACAACTAAAACAGAATTCATTGTCACAAATGGAACTGATGAATTGAATATGTTTGATCATAGGAATTATAACACTCCAATATACAAATATTCTACAAGAAATATTCTGGCTGGAATATCAAATGTAGAGTGGAATAAAGCAGGAACACATTTTCTGGTATCAGAATGTTTCGATACTGCTTCATTGTATTCTGCAAAAAGAAACAAAGCACAGATGAAATTCGTAAAGAACAAACCAAATAATCACAAAACAGGTAAAACATTTAGATTTGGTGGACCTGATGATGAATACGTTTTAGGAGGATTTGATGATAAGAAATTGTGTTATTGGAAAATACTACCTGATCCAAGTTGGAAGAATCTGTTCAATATAAAGAACAAGTCGATTGAATTATTTGATCATGAAATGAGTAGTTCAGAAGAAATGAATATAGAGAAAGATGCATTCACGTATGGAATATGTAGAACAATATGTTCAAAAACTAAAGATAACATCGTTATGAACAATATGAGAATGGAATTGATGGGATTCAATAGCATTGTAAATCAAGCTGTAATGCATCCTAAAATACCAAGAATATTTGCAACAGGAATTGAAAATATTCTGTATGCATTCTCACCAGACTATTTAGGTCAAGATGATCCACATTTACTTTTGAATTCAGATACAATTGAAGTATTTGATCAACTAGAAATAGACATGTATGATTTCCTGATATAACTTTGGTTGGAGTAACAGGTGACATCATTGTCTTTATAAAGCACTTTTTGAACCAGGTTATTCACTTGAAGAATAATAATTTATTTACAGTTGTTCAGCAGGAGCTAAATGCATACCTTATTAACTCATTTTTCTGCCTCTACATGAATTAATATGTTATGATGGATATTATATTGATTGATTATTCATATGGCACTCTATATTCCTCATATTCAGCAGAATCATTGGTTCTTGAATGATTTGTCTGTCTCTGATTAGTTGGAAAATCACTTGAATTGTTCCTGTAATTGTTTCGGTAGTTGTTACCAGTATTTGGTGAATAATTATTGTTATTTCTCTGACTAACTGACTATTCTGACTACTCTGCCCATTTTGATTTCTCTGATAATTCTGATCACCTTGATAACCATGACTGCTATAATTGTTTCTACTGAAATCATTCCTATTACTTCTATTATCTCTTTTATAGTTGCCTCTAATATCACTCTGGAACTGTTTTATTTCCCCATACACTTTGTTGCTATCAAAAGGAATACAGAATGATCTATAACTTGGAATTGTGAAATTGCTGCTGTTCTTGTATTCTGTAATGAGCTGAATGTAATTATCAACCCAAATAGCATCAGCCTGTTCCTGTAGATTGTTATACATGCATCCAATACGTAATTCATCTGGATGAATGTCATTTGTTTTAGACGCATAAATATAATATGGATGTGTCTCAGGATGAAAGAACTTACAATTAGTTCTAGTGCATATTCCATTGATCCAATCTAAACATGTCTTATTCTGTCGATTATAGTCATTTCTGTTATATCTTCCATCATTTCTTCGTTGCATAATTTTGGGGTATTCTAAAACACTCTTCAAAATAAATTTGACTATAAATAAAACTGACCTGATTTAATTTTGTTACGAACATCTCATAGATCAACAGTATTACTCATGTAGATATTTGTTCTTAGGAACCTAGAATATGTACACTTTCCGATACAACTAATTCTACAAAATACAAACCCATGTCAGTTGAGAATAGTGAAAATATTACTGAAGAAAAGTATAATCCAAAAATACTAAACAACATCATGAGAAAGATGCGTGCCAATGCAAATGCTGGTCCATTTCTACAACCAGTAGATCCAGTTGCACTTGGTATTCCAGATTATTCAGAAAAAATTAAAGAACCAATGGATTTAGGAACAATAAAAAAGAAACTCGCTGATAACAGTTATACATCAAATGAACAGTTTAAAACAGATATGAATTTGATATTCAACAATTGCTATTTGTACAATGGAAAAAGTAGTCCAGTTGGACAGATGGGAGTAGAATTAGAAAAGGCTTTCATAAATGCATATGAAGCAATTGAGAATACAAAAGAAGAAGTTGAACAAAACAAGAAACCAACCTTAAAGAATAAGGTTAAAGCAGTGAAAATGTCTCAAAGTGACTTTGAACTCGCCAATGGTGTTCTGAATGAATTAGAGAAGGCGAAATACAAAAAGACAACATGGGCATTCACGCAACCTGTTACAGATGCTGAAGCACCAGGATACTCTGCAATAATTAAGATTCCTATGGATATGAGTAGAATACGATCAAAGTTAACCAGTAGAGAATATGAGAACTTACAAGGATTCAAAAATGACCTGATTCTAATTGTTGAGAACTGTAAACTGTACAATCCAGAGAATTCTGAAATATTCAGGCTGGGAGTGGAGTTTGAAAAGTTATTTAAGAGAGAATTGAGTAAAAAGGAATTGGGACCTGATGCAGAGATTGAGGAACTCAGGAAGAAGATAAGTGACCTGATGATGAAATTGAATTCATTAGAGGAAGCAAAAAGACTGGAAAATGACCTGATTTTTGGAATTGAAATCAGAGAATCATTAGGAAACAAGATATTGGCTGTTGGAAGAGAAGAAAGTGATAAGATTGTTGAAATTATTCAGAGAAGTTGCAGCAGTTTCAGTTACGTTGGTAATGATGAGATTGAAGTGAATATGTTGACATTACCTGATCACGTAGTTGGTGAAATCAAGGAGTTTATGGACAGATTAGAGAACAAGACAGTGGAAAGCAATGAGAGCTGTGATTGAATTGGATATTAATTTTTTGATAACAAGTATATTTTTCGTTCTTCAGTTTTGCCCATGCCACCTTACGTCAGTTTTAAGAGACCACCTCAACCTACAACTGAGGTTCCCATTGAGATCTTTACAGAGAAGCCTGGTTTAACACATGCTGATTTCGTAATCATCTGCAAGGCATCGTGTATGCTCTTAATTGTGATTTCTCTAATCACTTTATTTTACAAAAGCTTTAAACTGATTCAAAGAGAACTCCGTTAAATTGAATTAAGTGTACAATAACTATTCTTATCTTATTGCCATGGTCTATCTCGCATTACACCTTCTCATTTTAGGTTTTTAACTTACTATACGGTTCTTGAACGTCTCTTGGCGATTCGTCTCAACATATGTTTGGAATATATCTAGTTATCGTTTAATCCTTAGACTCCTTAAAGTATTCTCGGTACACTTTAGGAAAGTAATTTAATAGCATTAGATCTGGGGTTAAAACTAATCCTTTATCCCCAGGAAAATGGCGTAGTCCCTGACTACGACAATCACATTAAATAGTGGCCTGCAATCGTAGTTTCAGGTGGACCCTTCTTGGAGTTCATTAACATCAGAATCGACACTTTTAAGTACATTGGATTGAAGAAATGGACATTTGTCAGGTAAATTCATTCTAGTGATCAACAAAATGATGCTTTGTTTCACACAATTGAAAATATGGGAAGGTATTAAGGTGCTCAATAGGCCTAACAATTCTCCAGACACGAATCCCATTGAGAACATGTGGGACTGGATGATCAAATGGATTTCTGATATGGGAAAATTGCATAATCAAATTGATTGTTCAAAAGTAATTGTCCAAAAGAACCCGGGATGTAATTCCACAGGTCCCAATAAACATTTTGAGCTTGTCAATACCAAAGATGAGGGAATGTTTAAACCTTAAAACCTACATTTAGTATTCTATCATAACCGGTAGAATACTTATTCCATTCCACAAACGATTTTAACAAAATATAAAATGATTAGGCGAATTCTGGATGATATGTTGTGAATTACACCTAGTTTCACACATTAATTGAACTGAAAGATAACACATATAGTTAGCGCCCGAATATCTTTTCTATTGGAATGCACCTGTACTGTTTTAATACGATTATTGATCTGATAAAATATGTTTCCAATCAAGAATTATCGTACAACCTGAGACATTTCATTGCTCTGCGATTGATTGGTGATCTAGAAAATACGCCTGACGCAAATAAGTTGTTAACGCATCCATTCATAACAGGAAAATGTCATATTTCTTGAATCTGTAATAAATTATGTTTGTTCAATATTGTTTATTATTACAATTCATCAAATTCCTCTGGCTCAGTCACCTTCATCTCTTTACTGTACTGTGATAGGTACAAATTCAGTCCTATTCCACCCAATACCATTGTAATCATCGTAGTTGTGCCCATTTTAGAGAATGAGGCGAGTTTCATGGATGTGCTACTGTACAAACACGCCATCTCCATGATTGTGAAAACTGTGGTATTGTAGAGACCAATTCTTTCCTTCTTTGTTGCATAATACGCAGCCAATAACCCTATAGCCATTCCACTTCCAAATGCAACATATTCAGCCTGTTTAACAGTAAGTAAAGCAATGAGACCACTAAGGAATGATGCACCGCATATTCCTGTTACGTCACCATGACCACTAAAAATGTTGAATATGGCTATTCCTCCTATTATTAGTGGATGAAATAGGATATATCCATCCTCAATGTTCTTCATGAAGACGTATTCTACGAAGAATGTGAATGCAACTGCATTGGCTACCTTAGTCTGGATTTTCTTGAATTTCACAGTTGGAACAAGAAGCATAGCCAAAATGGCCAGATTCACTGCAATTGCTGCCACACGCTGCTTCTTGGAAAGCAGCTGATGACTCGTGTTGACGAACTTCACTGCGTTATCGTACAACTTCGCACTCTTCCTTGGCATGGGTAATATTATCTATATCAAAACAAATGCCATCTCATTTCATTACCTTTGCTATCTTCTTATGCAACTCATTCAACTCGTAGTCGTTTTTCAGTATCGAATAAATCTCCTTGCTGAACATTCCCTCTGGCATTTTGTCTTCGAGTATCTTGGTCCTCACGTTGCTCTTCTCACACAGCTTCAAGTAGATTCTGAATACGTTCTTAAGCAATAGTGGATTGCGAGTATTCACCCCATGCATCACTAGTGGCCCTATCACCATATCTACGGCATTGAATCTGTCTACAGTTTGTACCGTATATTCGAGACCCCTGCTTGAATACTTCTGATGGGTCTCTTCAGTGGCAACTTGGACTGAGATTATCAGGAATAGAAGATACGTTCCCTTCACTTTCAGTCTCGTCTCAGGCTGGTTGATGACACGAAGCGTAATTGGAAGAATGTCACTGAATGGAATCAGGTTGCAATGGGTGTTTGTGACTGTCTTGAGAATCGAGCAATAAATTTCTAGGACACTAAGCTTAATTCGCTCTGAGAAGTCGACTGAGGCAGCACACAGAAATGGGTGAAGTGAGGTATCAAGCTTGTGCTGGAGGATGTTTCTGACGACTACGTACTCCTCACAGAGCAATGTAACCAGTTTAAGGATGCTTTCGAGACTACTTGGCGTATTGGTGGTGTAAGCACTACAAATGCTGTTTAGGAGACTCAATTGAAATCCAGGATAGAACCAGACAAAGACGTAGATCTCTCTGATCGACTCCTTAGCAGTCTCCTTCTTGCACTGTAGGAACTCGTAGAGCTCACTGGCTGCACTCTCGTTCTGCATCACGCTGGTTACCAGATGAGTCAGCAAATTGAGAGTATTTGGCTCAATTTTCTCAATTTCAAAATCAGCTGCAGTGAAATTCTCCTTGCTTTTCATCATGGGGAAATAATTGCACTCTTTTTGCCCATGTATAGAATTGTTTCTATCCTATCCATTGATATGTCACTCCTAAGTCAACTTACGACTAAAACACCTTCTTCTGGAACACAGAAGGCACTTCTACTCAATTTAGAGACTAAAGAAGAGTCAATCCACTACTTTGTATCTGAATCAAAGATGCTTGGAATTGGAACAACCTTGATTCTTCATTCCAATTCAAGGATTCTTTATAAAAATGACTACAAAATATCGCACCAGGAGGAATACAACCACAATACCAAATTCATTACCAGATTACTAACTCAGACCGATGACTAATTCCATCAATATCAATCACATCATTGGTCTCTGTTGCATGCAGAATACCTTCCGGAGTATTCTTCTTAATCCCCTCTTCTCTGTCTTGTTGCATTCTTCCATTCCCAATGCTGCATGGATCTCCTTCTCAATCTCTCTTTCTCCTTCAAAATACAAATTGTATTCAAGTGCCTCTAAAATCACCTTTTCCATCAAATTGATTCTGGTGCACTCAATTCCAGTCACAGTCTCCCAGCTCTCATTCGTGTAGGAGACATCGTTGTACATCTTTAGGGAAACTACAAAACACCCAATCAGCACCAAGGTGCTGTCATAGAACAGTTCACGTATCACATCCTTCTCGTATTCAGCTGTTACCTTACTATTCTGCTCGTATTTAGCATATACGCTTCTATAAGAGTGGCCTTTTGGAATACGTCTCGTTGCAACCTGTTTCTCCTTGTTTCTGTAGTATTCAACTGACATTCTGCTACTGTCGTATCCAACCAGATATTTATCAAGGCGCCTATGCATTCTCCTGTATATTTTCACAGCAGTAAGCACAGATGGATACGTCACGCCTGCTGATTTGATCACTCGCATCAGTCGTGCGACCTGACTCTCCTCCTGAAGCACCAGCACCAGAAACGGCTTCAATCTGTCTACCAGCTCATCATTTGGTACGTAGTTCAGCCTTGAATAGTACGCCATTAAGGAGTATCCTTGGATTCTCTCCTATTAAGGGACTTCTTTGATTTTTGTTCTCTTTCTTGAATTTCCTTACACTTTTCTACCTCACTTTCTGTTCTTGCCAATTTCATCTTCTCTAACTCTTCCTTTGAATAGGAGACAATCTTCATCGCCTGAATTGCTCTGGTCCAGTCTGCCTTGATTCTCTCAACCAGCTCGCTGCTTCTTGTTGCCATCTTGTTGGACATGGCCAAAAATAGTCGAATATTTTTATCAAATCATTTCATTCTGCAACGAGTCTCTCAACCTGTACGTAGTGAATTCGATTATTCTGATACACAGCAAGTATCAGCATCTTGTTGCTTCCAGTGCATACGCGTTGATACGCCACAATCTCCCTGTACGTCATACCCTCCTCAAAAAGAACTAGGCCGTACTTCGAGTGGACTGCATCGCAGCTGGCCGTGTAAACGAGCAGATCCAATCCGTATTTCAGTGCATCGTTGTAGAGGAGACTGTTCTTATCCAGGTCTTTTTTTACCAAATCCAGTACCACTTCCCGGATCATAAAGGAGGCAGAACAAAATAGAAATATTTTACTCAAACCATCTCATTCGTCTTCTCAACTGCGTCATTCTGGATCTCTTCAACCTTCTTCTTGTTTCGTACGACGAATACGGCCAATGCGTCCAGAAGAAGAAGCACAATCCGTGGAATCAGGGATAGTAGGAGGCCATTTGCAACCTGATCAATGAGTTTGTTGAATGAGACCACGTCGATCAGGCAGAAGAGGATCCATCCAGTAAAGAGCACTCCCAGGAGATCATTTGAGTCCTTGTTCATTCTGCTGAGACCAAACGAGATCACTATGCCCAGAAGAACTGCGATCAGAAATTGAATCACGCCTGAAAAACCAAGGAAAATCGAAAGCTGGCAGCCAGTCAAGTACCCCGTAGATGCAATGCTAGTCAGTTCAAGAATGGATGATCTCGTATTCAACATGAATAGCAGTCCATAGGCCAGAAGATAGAAGAAGATGGTTCCTACCACTGCCTGAATTCCACTAACGAATCCTTTTGTGATTGCATAATGAGTCAATGCCAGTACACACGTGTATGTTGCAATACAATTCTTCTTGTATGAATCGTACTTCTGCCATGGAATGATCATTGCAACACCAACTGCCGCAAATGATGCAATCGTAGTTGCCTTTGTGAAGTAGTCTGGGACTGCTGTGTAACCTGGTGGCATCGCATACATCACGCCTAGGTCTGATGCAGCTGCTGTTCTGAAAAACTGTAGCATATAGGAGAGAGTGGTTCAGTTAAATACCATTGAATAATCACTAACCAATAAAAATGCACCATTAATGGTGGACATATTTGCTAAATATCTGCCTATAAAAATAAAAATACGAATATTCTTTACTAAATCACCATTTCCTTCACGTTCTTCACTGCTGGTAACTTCTTTTGCTTCTTTCCGCTCTTTTTCTTGCGAAATAATACCCGTAGTACTGTATAACACATGAAAGTAGTCGACAGAATCCCAATCAGGTAGACTGCTCCAATTTTCTTGCTTTCTTGATCACCCTGATAAAAGTATCCAATCAATTTCCCACCAGTTAGAACGTTGGCCAGGCTGTAGAAGAGCCATCCTGCCATTGTTCCAAATAGAATGAACTTCCTGATTCTTCTTGCTACGTAATACAGTACCACGTATAGCACCGTAAATCCTAACATTGTTCCCATAGCTGATTCCTTGGTTTCTAAATCAAGTAGAAGGTAAAGGGTGATTCCATTAGCGTATGCTCCACCCAGTGAACTCGTAAGTACCTTTACACGCCTATAAAACATGTTCATCACAGTCACCACAAGTATGATCATGGCACTGATGAAGTATGGACTCCATGATGCAGGTGTCACGCTATCAAGCCTATGAACCAGAGTGTCGTACATTCCAAAGTGATTCAATCCCATTATTATTCCTGATATTGCAACTGCATTGTACTTGATGTTCTTTAGGTAGAAAGTTGGATACAAAATGATGGAGCCTGTGATTGCGAAATCAAGGGCATTTTTGGTCTGTTTGAAGAGAGTCTCAGGGTGCATGTAGATTGGAGGAGGGAGCTCGCGGACTGTTTCTGCTGGTAGCAGCATTGCTGCAAATGCAGTATGGATCATCTGAAGCAACATAAAGGAGTGGAGTAGACTGGTCAATTGGTTGATATATGAATAATTGGTTCCTTTATGCCTGAAAATAAGAAGAGTGGAATAAGAATACGCTACGTGAAGAACATTTTGAATGAGCCATTTGAGAAGAAGGAGAGAAGAGCACCGCTGAGTGCGTATGAGAAGCTGATGAAGAGAGCTGAGAAGGAGTCAGAGGAGGATGAGCACGACAGTCTCGAAAGAATGGAGAGAATGGTAGCACATGAGTTCAAAACTGTTGAGAATTCGTCTCGAATAAATTTAACAGGTGAATTTGAGGACAAGGTGAAACCAGTCAAAATGGGTTGGATGAAGCGTATTGTGAAACTGATGAAGAGGAAGAAGGTTGAGGAAGAGCAAGCGAGTGAAGACAGGACACTGTTGGAAGGTGTACCATACGAAAATGTAGATGTAAATAAGAATAGAAGCAAAATGAGTAGAATAGGGAAGTGTGTCCAGGTTGTAGTGAATAAGAGTGTGAAACAGACGTGTAAAATAGCAAAGAGCATCTCAAGAAAGATGAAGCAGTGATACGAAATATGGGCAAGTTATAAATTTTACCCATGTTTGGTGAGAGTGTGGCTTACTACTATGGAAACGTATTCAGAAGTCATTTTATAGCACCAGATAAAAGATACAGAATAAGTGGATTGGATATGGGTGTATTGGAGGAGTCAGGAGCAGAAGATATCAGAGCAGTGGGACGAGTGAATCAGAACAACGAGATTGAGCTATTCAACTGCGACTTGAGAGTGGTAAATACGTTTGTGATTGGTGAGACTGATCAATATTATGAGGTGTATGGAACAGAGGGAATAAAGACGGTGATAGAGAAGCCAGTGGAATTGAGAAGGAATAAGATGTATTTATGCACAGTTGTAGGGGAAAAAGATGAAATGAGAATTTTGAAACTGGTGAAAAATGGAGAGAAGAAGAGGATTCCTGGTACATTTCTGACTGGTGAATTGGTGATAAAAGAGCATGGCCATTGGATCAAGACAGCCGTAGGAAGTGGACCAATTCAGTTACAGAGCAATAGAGAGTACAAGAATGGTGAGAGTGTGACTGCTATACTGAATTATGCCTGTGGAAATAAAACTGGATTTGTTGAGACAAACAATCCAATACGTCACAGCAGAGTCAACGTAGTGGCAACAAGAGGCGGAATCCACTGGGTTGAGAGTGGAAATGTGCGTGGAATTGTCCTTGAGACCGAAGATACCAAGAACAAGAATGAGCTTGTTGTGAAGGTGGAAAAGGTGAGACTGGGCCACTACGTGTTCAGAGAGAGTGGACTAGAAATTGGAGGAAGACGCCTCTTTCGAATTGTAGGAAGAACGGCAGCAACAGACTGCTTTCTGCTACGAATTCAGAAGACGAAGGAGAAGCTGAAGGCGAGAGTGATTGGAGACCACAGAATAAAGCAGTTTCGAGGATCAATCGTAGACTACGACGATACGACTGATCTATATCTCGTTGAAATTGAGAAAGAAGAAGAAAGGGAGGAAGCAGCAAACAAGTCAGAAACAAACAAGGAGGTTCTTGATGAAATCAGGGAGTCGTTGCTTCTGAACAACTACGCTGTCTTTGCCAAATACGACAGTCTCCTCTACACCGACGTGGAAGTGCTCTTTCTGTTTCTGTCTCATTTGCTCTCCCAAAACAAGCTTGATTTGGAGGACATCAGCAAATACCTTCCAGGGCACCTCAAGAACGAGAATACCACGAGAAAACTGGCTGAAATCAGGAACAAACCCCTCAGGGAGCACATTTTCAGGAAAACGGGGAAGAAGAGTGCGTTTCTGGCACTGTCTGAGATGCTTAGTCCCGCTGAACTACGCGAATACTGCAAAAACAGACGAAATCTGGCCTATTTGGCAACACAGGCAGCAAACAGCAAAACAGTCAAAAAGTTACTTGATTCAGGCGTAGTTGAAACAGAGGAGCAGCTTCGAATTGTCCTGAGCAAAGTCAGAGACGATTCAGAACGAGCCACTCTCCAGGCCAATGCTCCTCCACTAACTAACCAATATTAGCGTATTGCTACAAATCCAGTATTGTGTAGTGTTTTGCCTTTTCTCTTCTATATTTTATGAGAACAGTCACAATCACGATCACCAGAAAGAGGGGCAACACCACCCCAAATGCAATTGCGAACTTGTGTCTTCTCCACCACGACCTGAACTTCTCGCTCTTCGTGTCTGCTGCTGCAAATGGCGACTCCTTCAGCATCTCAATTCCTGTGATTGGCTGATCTGCCTCCTTTTTGTTCCTGATCACCATGAAGTAGTTTGACTTGGTTTCAACCAGAATGTTGTACCGTGGATCGTACGCCTTCATCTCGAACCAGTAGCGACTATCCACCCCTTTCTGTGTTCCAGCATCCTTGGTCAACACGCCCAACAGCTCCTGAAGTGATACGAATGCGTACTGCCTACAGACCAACTTGACGCAGTCGTAGACTGTGGAAGTTGGAAGAAGCCTGTCCTTGAACCACGGCTTCAGGGCAATGAAGTTCTTGATCACTGCCGTAACCACGGTGTGATTTGGGTTTAGGGTTCTTTTGTACAAATTTGTTCTCAATTCCAGGAAGGAAGAAAGCACCAGAAATCTGGTGCTTTTTGTCACGTCCTCGAGAAGACAGTCCTTGTTCTCTCCATCCATTCCGTAGACGTAGGTGGACTCGTCGAAGCTGGCAACCACCTTCTCTGCCTCCTTGCTTCTCAGTGCGACCGATCGTATCATTTTTGGTGTTGCAAACTCAACTGCCACGGTGTACGACGTGACATGAACTTCCTTGATCATTGTCTCGTCCACGATGCTCTGCTTCCTCTCCTCTTCCTCGTAGTCGAAGTCATCTGCTCTGACTGATCCAATGAGGAGTCCAATTCCACTTATTTTTTTTAATATCCACATAGGGGGAATTGAGAATGCTCGTAGAGTAGTAGGATAATTCGTAAAGATAGGGGATTAGGAAGTGCCATATTTTATTCACATGAATACACTATTTACAATCTCTTATTTACATTTAGTCTCCCTTGCAGCACATCACAAAGACCAGGAGCAATGCAACCAGTGCAATTGCAATCAGGGCGTAGAACCACCACTGCTTGTAAATTGCCGTTCCAGAAGCAAACTTGTACTTTCCGCCTTCTTCAGCCAGAATCACCTTGCTCTGCACCAGAAACTCCTTCTGGTCCGCCCCAACGCAGAGGAACTCGAGCACGTTGAGCGTGTTCTCGTCCTCAATCGCAGCAGACAGGTCGACCTTGAACTCCTTGAAGGCCACCTTGCTCTCCAGGAACTCCTTCTTCTGCGTATCGCTCATTTTGTCCCAGTCTGCCTGACTTGGCACGTCCTTGTCGTCAAGCACGCTGCTGATCGATGAAAGGGTCACGTCACCAGTGATCATCTTCTTTGGTTCGGTGATGATCTTCTCTACGTCCAAATCATCAGCAGTGATTCCACTACTGCTGCTTGCCTTATCGGTATCATCCTCTTCACCCTTCTTCTTATCCTTAGAACTGTCTTTCTTAGAATCATCTTTCTTTGAATCATCTTTCTTAGATGAGTCACTCTTCTTTGGTTTTGAGTACAGTTTCACTGATGAAATAGTCACAATCGCCTTGTCTCCCTTCATTGCCAGCACAGTCTTGTCAATTGAGCCAGTGAAGTCCTTCGTATATTTCAACTTGTCAAATTCCATCTTATCAACATCAGTGTGTTCTACTGAGCTATCGTCTTTCGCCTTGACGGTATCAAACAGCTGTGTGAGTATCTGCCAGGTGATCATGAATGGGCTTTGTTTCCAAAACATTTATAATGTTTGATCAATAAACAATGCATGATGGTGTGATCTGGTAGGGTGATAGTGGTGATGCCTGGTGCAATGGCGGTGGTAGCAGCCTACGATCCAAGACGTAAACAAACAAAGAGTAAACAAACAAGCAGAAACAACTTACAGGGTGAAATGGCAATTTAATTAGCGAATCAGAAATTAAAAAGGAATTCAAGGCGTATTCAGGCAGACTGTAACTCCCCTGGTCAACTGTGGTAGTGCAATTTTCCACTCTGAAAATCAGCCCAAATGTCGATCTGCCGCAAGACGGATGTGCCCATGAATCAGCAAAATGCACCAAAGAAGAGCTGCCCAGAAAAGGAGTGGATCTGCAAGAAGCAGGACAAGCTGCTGAACAGGAACATCGGATACTCGATGCGTGGGTATCTCGATGCACCAGTGGGCGTCCTACGCTCTCGAAAGAAGGCTGGGACTCAATTTGACTACGGAATCACGTTTGAGAACGAAGGCGGAGAGGACGGGATGGGAGAGGCTGGTTCAGAGGGTCGACTCCTTGGCTGCGGCGGAGACTGCTGCGCCCTGGCCTGCAGCCGCTGTTCCAAGGTCTTTCTGTCTGAACAGGGATTCAGGTACCACGCTACGACGGTGCATGCTGCCGCAAGGGAGCAGCCACAGCCAGCAGTGGTGCTCGTGAAGCAGAAGAGCCACCAGAAGGCGCCAAAAGAGTACAGGTGCATTCCATGCAACAAGCACTACAAGAACCACAATGGGCTGAAGTATCACAGGCAGAAGCACCACGCAGGTGAGTTACAGGAGAAGAAGAATGGCACCAAATAGATTTGTTAGGAAGACGAATCCAAGTAAATTATAGGAGAATTGTTGTAGGGGTAGTTAGCTAGATCGTATTACGCCCAATAAATTGTATTATGCCTCCTTTTATCCCCAATGATACTGTTCATAAGAGTATCGTATGCAATTGAATTTGGCATAGGAATGGAGACCAGGATGGATGACGTCTTCTTCTCAATGAATCAGAGTGAGAATCGGGCGATGAGGCTGGCCAACGAGGAGGAGCTGGCTGAATTTGATCAATTTAGGGAGGGAGAAAGGGGAGCCAGATTTCCAACCTACAGTGAGAGATACGCTATAAACGTGATTCACGATATGGGAATAGTGGCAGTACAGAGGAATAGGGCAGTATACGACAGCAATATTGATGATTTGAGACGGTCTTATCGGTATATTATGGATGACTGTAATGAAAATGAAAGAGGGAAGTTTGCGATTCTGAGAATGGCACAGGGAAGCACGTTTGAGGGAATGAGGCACTGCAACGACTTCATCGCAAACAGGGCATTGAGTTTGGGGGTGAAGGTGCGAGGAGACCACGCCAGAAGAAACTACGTGTTGTTGGAGATGGTTGGAGACGATCCAATGGTGCTCATGGTTCAGTTTGAGATAGCCAACCTGCGATTGGTCAACAGGGGGGCTCGGACTCGCATATTTAGGTTAGTAAAAGACAATTTGGTGATCAAACTATGCAACCAAACGAGATACACCGATATCAAGATCTATAAAAATAGTGTTGCAGGCAGGTTCGAACCAGAGGAGCTGGTTGATGGCAATGCTGAAAATGAGGTGTTCTACGTGAATCTCAGTCAAAGAACCACAGTTGATAAGGAGATGGACGTCTTCAGCAATTACATGAATCTAACAGTGAAATGGTGGGAATACGAGTACAAGAAGGACATAGTACGGGCAATAAGACAGGTTGGAACAGATCACATCATAACTGACTACACGGGTACGATACAAAGTGTACTAACCAAGTTGGTGATGAAATTAGGGTGGACCAGGGAGCAGGCTGAAATGAGACTTCTTGGCCTATTTGGGTCGTATGAGATCATCAGAATAATCTCCAGTGCGTACACCCCCTTGGAATACGACTTCTGGTACACACAAAATATCAATCCTGATCAATGGTTTCATGATGAGGTGATGGCAATAGATGATTCGATGAAAATGGTAGAAAACAGAATAATGAACGAGAAGGAGAACAGAATTGAACTCGCAAATGCATTTTCCAAGATGAATAACGTGCCAGAAGTAGAGAATCCAGTTGTAGCCAGAAATGTACAAATAGAGTTGGAAGACAGTGACTGTATTGGACCAGATAGGAGCAGTAACATGCCATACGTCCTGTTCTTCTGTGGAATAGGCCTCTCCTTCTGCTTCAGCCTCGTTGCCCTTCTCTACAACATCTGGATCGTAAACAAAACCAGGGACAAAACCAAGGCCAATTCCCCAAAATAACCTTATTTCAACCAAATTGGTTTGAAATGAATCTCATGCATCCAATATTCTCTCAAACTTCTTCTTGTACAGTTCCAACCCCTTTTTAAGAATCTCCTTTGGCTTCCCAACTCCCTCTACGACCTCTACGTTCATCACAACACGTTCAACCTTCCTGAGATCGTAGACACCGCTGTCCTCGTTCACGAATGGCCACGACTCTCCCACCGTCTCGTTGTTCTCCTTCCACAGCACCGTGTGCTTCTTCACGTTCTCCTCGTCGTAGCTGAATGCCACTGCTGTCACTGGACTGAATTTCGCATGCCTCGAATTCGCACTCACGCAGCTCTCTCTCCTGGCCACGCATCTCAGCTTTATCGACTGCTTTGGTGCCAATTTGCAGATCAACACGTTGCTTCCTCCCATTTGGAGCCCATGCGAGTTCGTCAAGTCCCTTCCCAACACGTCCATGTTTTCCACCGTATTGTTCGTCCTGTTCAACTGGAATACGACTGCACACTTCTCACAGTGCTCGTCGCAGTCACACGCGTCCTTCTCGATGAGACTGATTCGATCATCGAGTGGAAGCAGTCCCAGTCTATTTGCGACCATTTCGTCAGCGAAGACTGAGGTATTTTCTGTGATTTCGACGTAGTCGATTGCGAGGGTCGCCAGTTCGCCTAGGAGGATTCTTCTCAGTCCGTTTGCGAAGGAGACGTTGCACTGGAGTGCGAACTTGATGGATGTCTCCGTGAGCTCGATGAACTCGAACTTGACTGAGTTGACTGGATTCTCATTTGTCATTTTGGGGTTATACTATTTTATGCAACAATTAAGCTTAAGTGGTATATATAGATAGTAGTGTGAAATGTAGTAGTAATAATAGTATAGTAATAGTAGTAGTGTGAAATAGGTGCACCTACAATCATATTGAACAATCCAATCCTTTACTAATCCACTACTATCTCCCTTATAATCCCTTATAATCCCCTATAATCCCCTATAATCCCCTATAATCTCCCTTATAATCCCTTACAAGTAAAATAGGTTACTGCTAATCTTCCTGATCACATCCCTCATCTCCACTACGTCACCCTCGTTTCTCTCAAAGTAGGCCTTTCCCCTGACTGCTGCCAAATTGGCGTAGTAAATTGGTGGCACCACCGATACGCTCTTGGTTGCCCTGGCATAGAGGTGGCACAAGGAGAAGATGCTGGTGTGAAGTGCCTCCTGGGTGAATCCACTCTCGTTGAGAAGCACCTTGTAGCGAGTTGGCCTTGCTGTGCCCTGGAGAGCATGGGCACTGACGAGGAAGAAGTCGATTGGAGCCTCGTTTCCCATTCCGCCTACGAGTGTCCCTGGTGCCAGATTCCCCATGTCCTGTTCACCAGCAAACCTGACTGAATGCCTCTTCTGCGCCACGATGAAGTTCAATTCCGGATGGTAGTTTTTTTCCATTGCTGCAAGTGCCTCCTTCATTGCACTGATTTCCTGGGTGAAGACGGCCTCAAAGGCGGAGTCTCCGAGGCCGTCCCTGAAGAAGACAATTCGCTCTGGCTTCTTCTTCGTGGCCGTGAAATGCGCCCTGAGCAATGACGTCACTGTCTCCTTCAACGATGCCACTATCTCAGTCCTCCTCTTCTGCGTCCCAATGACTGTCTTGTAGTTGACGAAGTCGTAGTCGATGCTGCCTACTGCTGCTACCACCGTAGGGGAGTCTACGTCTGTGACACCAGGATGCTGGACATTGAGACCAATGAGCATCGTGGCCTTATCGGAGAAGATGCCCTCAGAAAGGGAGTGGTTCTCACCACCCATTTTTGCGTTTATTTTCAGGAGGATGTTTCCTATGAAATTTGGATTGGCCATCTTCGACGATGCATTTGCCCCCAGGACGCACTGGGTGACGTGGCCCGTGTACGTCTCGGCCACTCTCTTGATCTCCTCGTAGCGCATGGCCGACTTGTCAGGGAGGACGACCATGTTGAACTCCTCCTTCTCGGAAGCAAAGAACTCGTCCACGACTGAAATCTGCTCCTGAACAGGGTGCTCCCTTGGAAACCTGATTCCGTACCTGGTTGCCACCTCGATGAACTTGTCCAACACGTCATTTCGTAGGCGATCTCGCCCCCTGAAATAGAACACCTTCCACTTTCCAATTTCAACTGGTCTCAGGGCAGCCACGTCCCTCAGGTTCCACGATCCACCTGAAACCTGAACAGTCGTGTTCGAATACTTCACCACTGGTGGAGGCAGAATCATCCCCTTGCAGTTTGTGAACTTGTTGTCGAAGGCGACTCCGAAGGAGGAGAGCAGCTCGTTGCTGAAGACTCGCAGCTCCTCTGCCTTCTGCTGGATGATTCTGAATCGGTCATCTGGCTTCTTGGCCGCTATTTTGATCATCGAGGCAGTCATTGCCTCGTTCAGCTTTGGCGAGTATCGCTGCATCGGTGCCACCTCAAGCACCTCAATTGGGAAGTAGAGCTGCTGGTCTCTGACTCTGATTTCCACCAGTGGAAGATGGGGGTGCTTCAGCTCAAAATACTGTTTCTTGAAGTAGTCGGCCACAGACATCTCCTCCTCAGTCGAATTGTCCCTGTTGCTGAATTTCACCATTTTTCGGGTGGCAGAGTCCTCGACCAGGCCGCTGCACGTGAACGACTTGTTTCTCTCGCCACGGTGCACCGTCCTCACCCTCAGCTTCCTCACGTATCGCTCCAGGTGGTGGTGGAACTCCTGCGTGGGCGAGCCAAGTGACCCGTAGAGGCGCGAGGACGCAACCAGATCGCTGACCAGGTCGATCAGCCGCTGTGGGCGGTAGAAGACGCCAAACGACTGGTCCAGGTTCAGAAAGAGGCCGTCTGTTCCGAGGCTGAAGGAGGCTGTGACTCCGCTCAGCACGTCCAGGCCGACTCCAATTGGAACTGGCCTCGTTGATGGAACAATCATCTTCCTCCTGTCCACGAAGAAGTGCTCCCTCTGGTGGTGTCTGATCAGCGCATTGAAGCAGTTCAGCAGCTCAAGTGGATTTCCGTTCTCGGATTTCACCGCGTTTCGGAACTCGATTTTGCACTTCTGGACGCCCTCCCTCAGCGGGAACTCCAGCTCGACGTCGTCGATCTGCTCCTTCGTCACGAGCGTGTCGTTTCCGTCAAAGGCGTAGGCCGTCTCGGCCAGGGCGCCGTTGTGCGCCAGGATCTTCTTCAGTCTCTCGAAGATGAAGGCGCTTCTCTTCACCTCAGGCGTAATTCGAACAGTGTACTGGAAGAAGGTGATAGGGGGGCCAGTGTACCTGAACATGTTCGAGTAGACCTGGACCTCAGTTGGCTCGCTCACAGTCACAACCCTCGCTCGGGGCGCACTGCTTGCGCCCCTTCGGTCGTCAAAGCGTCTTCCTCGATCTCCACGGTCTCTGTCGCGTGCATCAAATGACATTGGGGTCACAAAAATTTATTTTGCATAAGGAAATGATTAAACAGGCGCAAATGATTTATAGGGCAGAATACGAATAAGGTTAACAGATCAGGATAAGCTTAAATTGTTTGCAAACAATGGGGTGTATTTGGCTTATTCAGGTGTGAGTGGGTGAATTGGGCTGGTTTCAGCCTGTTTCGTTCTCTATCTCTGCCTTCTCTATCTCTGCCTTAGACACTCGTCTCGCTGTATCCACTTCGTTCACCCGAGTTGGACCCAAACAAGGTGTTCAAGTGGTACGATGAGTCAGAATCACCCTCAATGAACTCGTTGTTGCCTGCTTTCGTGTTGAAACTGACCTCAAAAATGCACCTCTTCAACAAATGGAGCATGGCCATCGAATCCTTCTCTTTTGACTCTGAGTGCCCTGACAAGTCATCCAGGATGTCACCTGAATCGATTGCAAGCGTGTAGGAACTCTCGCTTCCTTCTGATTCAGTCTGATCAGATGGTCCATCAACTGCATCAGCTGCAGTAACCTCAACATACGCCGTATGCTGCATTCCATAGAGTGATTTGAGGAAAACAGTCAATGGCTCCCTCATTTTCTTCAGACTCTGCTTCCTTGGTGCTGACGTACTGCACTTGACACTCTTTTCGTACGCAACACCTCCTTTCTTAACTGGATCAAATGACACATTCAGCTCAACATCAACGTCACAGATCAGTGGATCCATTTTCACTTTTAATACGTCCTTGATTTTGAATCCAGTTGGAATGTACGTTTCATCACAGTCTCGCAGCAGTCGAATCAGCCGTTTGATTATGGGATTCCTCATTTCAGTCTTCAGCAACCACAACCTGACGCAGGCGTCCGTTTCAGGTGGGCCCATTGTCAAACAGTTGTCCCTGATGGTGATTTTTGCTTCTACCCTGATTTCTAGGCGATATTTGTTCTCAATTTTGATGTAGAATTTGAAGCCAGTTCCAAGGGAGACCTCTTTTTCTTCCCTTTTCTTATTGAGATTCTCTAGCACGCTCTCTTCAACAAGGAATTCATCCGTGTGAGTTATGCCAGTGGCTGAGACTGTTACAGCCTGAACCATTTTGATGAGTGGTAGTATGCGTACTATAAACATATGGATCAATAGTTGTAAACAAATTGATATTATTTATTTGTTAGGGTGATTAATCTACTAACAGAGTGATACGAGTACAGTAGTGATTTCTACTCCTAATTCTGCTAGATTGATGTAATTGAATATTTACTAATAAATAGAAAATAATCATTATTATATAACACGTGTTTCATAAATGGGATTTATGACGCATTTCGGCCACACAAATGCGCATTGATTTGCCGAACACATTCCACAGGCCAGTTCTCTTCAGGAAAGCAGGAACCACGGAATACGTGGGATCATTTGATGTGAAGCAGGGTAGGCTTGAGATGCTTGGAAAGGAGTACGCCCAGCCATTTGAGATCATGAAGTACGCAGCAGAGGGAGTTGATGGTACTGCGGCGTACACTGAGACAGTTGGAATAAAGCTGGCTGATTCTGTTGAGTTTCTGACCAATTCTGATCATAATCCAGTGAAATCAGGTTATCAGCAACAATACGAAATTATTCAAATGAATCAGGGGAGCATTTCAACCAAAACACTCGTCCAAATCAGGTCAGTGACTGATGGATCATGTTTGACCGCTAGTTTGGAGGAGAATCTGCTCTTTTACGATTGTAATTTGGGTAATGGTGATCAGATATTTGAGATTGAGGAAGTTGGTCTGGCTGATTTCAGTGATGGATTCTTCATCAAGAACTTCGTAGACGACAAGTTCATCACGTTCAACAGGAACGGGGTTGGAGCAGCATTGGGGACTGAGAAGGAGTTGGCGCACCTGTTTTATACGGCAGAAGGAGGAGACGTGGGTGATACGAGGAATCAGGTTGTGATTGATGCAAATGGAACTGATGAAATCTACGATAGAAACAGGGATTTGATTCGTAAGCAGAGTGGACACGTGTATGATGTTCAAACAGGAGAGATGCCATTGACAGGATACGAGAAGGAGTATGCGCTGTTCAGGGAGTCAGACGGGAATCTGATGACAGAGAGGGCACATCTTGGCAGTACCAAATCAACAAATTTATTTAGAATTGATCAGGTGAATGAAAATGTGTACAAAATACGCACAGGGAAAGGAGCGTGTTTGGAGTACGATAATGTGAGCAGAGGATACAAATTCAAGAAGTGTGAGACCACAAACATGCAGTTGTTTGAGCTACTGAATATTGAACAGAAGGAGGTGTTTGATAGAATACGGCCAGAGGTGTTAGTTAGTGAGGAAGGTATTTTTGTTGAATTAGCTAGTAAAACAGGAGGAGCAGCCTACCTTGGAAACAAGGACAACAGACTTGGAGTTGTAGGAAACAAGAAGAAGGCATTGCACCTGAATGATCGTCTTGAGTTTGTTGATACGCTGGTGTATCAGGATGGTGGAATATTGATCACACCAAGTGATCATATTGATGGGATAATGGAAGTGAGGATGGTAAAGAATCAAAATGATCATAAAAGCACCAATTTGATTGTAGGAGGGAAGTGTTTGACCTATAAGAGCGTAAGTCAGGAATTCAGTTTGGAGCCATGCAAGAACAAGGAAGGACAGAATTACAGGGTGGTTGAAGAGAGATACAAGGACAATTTGTATGGGAATCAAACAAGAAGGGTTGATACGGTGAATTCTGACATATTTGTGGTTGTAAGATACATAAAACACGGTGAAATGTTCAAAACAGAACCAGTTGACTTGGGAAATGGTGGAGAAAGTGGGGTAGAGAGCAAACCTGAAACACAGAGCAGCAAAACAAGGACCAATCCATCACTACATGACGTAATGACCATAACTAACAGTGATAAAATGAATATGAGACAGGCCTACAGAAACACGCCTTTTGACAAACTGACTGAGACAGAATTGAGACAATTCGAAAATAAGCAGGTTCATAGAATGAAGATGTCGGAAATACAGAGGTTGACGCACAACAAGCTGTCTGAGACAGAAATAGAAGACGTAAAAGAGAGATCCAAATCAATGGTGCACATCAATACACACTACAACAATAACAGGTTTATCAAGAGCAACTGGTGTCTCCTACAAGACAACTTCAAAATGAACTACATGAAGGAAAACAAGGTGAATGAAACCAAAGCAGCCAGGTGGATAGCACCAAACAACCAATAGTAAGTAAACCGTATTTATTGACACAAATACATCATTGTTACAGGTTTGTTTAAATTGTTTCCATACAACAGTTGTAACATGATTTGCGTGGCTTTGTCGTTGTTGTCAACTGCAACTTGCTCAATCCAGCTTGGTGATGAATTCTCTCTCTCAGTGGGTGAGAAGTATCTTACGGCCCAAGATGGATCAATTGTTGCTGGACAGAAGGAAGACAGTCCGTTTTGGGTTGGAAGACCAAATGACCTGGGTGGACTCAATTTCGAAAGTGACGTCATGAATCAGGCACTGAACTACAGTCCAGGAAGTCATAAACTGGTTTTATGGCGAAATGGATCAAATGTAACCACAAACAAGTGGGATGTGATAAAACGAGGTGAGAAGGTACAGCTGGTCTCGTTGAAGGGAACGTGTGCAGCACTGGATGGTACGGCATTTAAGGGCGTTAAGTGCGATCCAGATGACAGAAATCAACTGTTTACAGTTCACAAGAAGGGAGAGGAAAAGAAGGTGACACCAACAGGAAGTGGATTGACGTACGGAAAGTGCTCAAATCACAAGAAAAGCAACGAGACGTTTCCACAGGCTGAAACATGGGGTAGTACAGAATAAAACAACCTGTAATATATCATTGTTTAGCATATCATTGTTTTATGATGACTCCTGTGGTATAAATTGGAGACTGTTTTGTTTCTATGGTGCTACTTAATTTGTTGAGTGGTTTGATTCACTGTGAAATAAACGCAGGTGACGAATTCACCCTATCAGTTGGTGATCAATATTTCTACTATGACTCAAACAATGATGGTGTGAGTGGAACGAAGAGTAATACGCCAACATGGGTTGCCAAGAACCACAGTAAAGGGGGATTGACGTTTGAAAGCACTGAATTGAAGAAGGCACTGAATTATAGTCCAAGGTATAGGGGTCTTGTACTGTACTCCAGGGGAGTTAGAAAGCCAAACAACAACTGGACTGTGATAGAACAGAAGAGTGGGAAGGTTCAGCTCAAAGGAAACTATGGGAAATGCGGACTATTGACTAATGGGAAATTTAAGGCAGCAAAATGTAATGAAAATAATAAGAATCAGCTCTTTACAGTTCACAAGAAGGGTGAAGAGGTTTCAAGTGAAGATATTACGACACCATTGAAGGATGAGCAGCCTAAAAAGCAGTCAGGAGATAACTTTATAGCCAATAACGCGGCACAGAGCACTAAAACACCTAAAAAGAAACCTCAGGTTGAGAAGAGTAACAAAATGCCGCTTACCAAAGTGGAAACAAACCAAAACAAACCACCAAAAAAGCTGAAAATGAATGGAAATGCTGAAATCAATGATAGCATGGTTAAAAATGGAAGTGTACTTGATTAAACTAGGACAATCACAATATTACCAGTATAAACTGAAACAGTGTATCAAATGCTGTTTTAATATGGCAATTCAATCTCATCAATGCTGGTGTTTCTGAATGCTGTGAATTGTATTATGCAGCCAGGTGATACATTCCGCCTGAAGAGTGGCAAAATGCATATTGGATCAAAAAGAAACAAGATGATTCTGAAGCCAAGGGCAGAGGATACGCCATACACTGCAACCACCAATTCAAAGGGGAATGTCTCGTTTTCTACTTCTGATCCGTCTGAATACGGTGCGATCAAACAGATATTCATGGACGTATTCAGGCCAGGGCGAGCTGATGCTAAAAATAACTGGGAAGTTACTGAAAAAGGGGGATTAGCAACAGTTAAAAACAGTAGAGGAAAGTGTCTGACACGAGTTGGAGAGCGTTTGGTGAAAAAGGCCTGTAAGAACAAGAAGGAACAGCAGTTTGGAGTAGAATACGTGAAAAAAGCAGATCAAAATAGTGGAAGTGATCAATCAAAGAATGAAGGAGATAAAACACAAGAAGGAAATAGTCAGTCACAAGGTGCAAATACATCACATGATGAGCCAAAAGAGACTGAACTTCCAGGTGGAAGCACAGCTGTAGGAGGATCACAAACATCTCATCAGACATCTCATCAGACATCTCATCAGACTCAATCAGCTCATCAGACTCAAACAGGTCATCAGACTCATCAGGATCAGTCACCTCAGTCATCTTATCAAACACAAACATTTCATAGGATCCATCCATCTCATCAGGCACAATCATTTCATCACACCCATCCATCTCATCAAACTCATTCATCTCATCAAACTCATTCATCACATCCATCACATCCATCACATCCATCACATCCATCACATCCATCACATCCATCACATCCATCACATCCATCACATCCATCACATCCATCACATCCATCACAAACAAGCCAAACAAGCCAGAAGCCACAGTTGGACCACTCATTTGAATTCAAAAGACCAAGAATCATAAAAAGAACCATTTACAGAGACAAATCCCTAGGAGAAGATTCACGAAAACTGCCTTATTCAGCAACGAAACCAGGTGAGACACCTGCATCCTCATCACCGGTGCAAGCAACGCAAGAAGCAATCAAAAACAGGAAACCAATTGAACCAGCAACTTGTGGTCTGGGAAAGGATCATGATCATGGATCAAACCCAGAAGTGCACCTGAATTACATGAAAAGTGGTACAGCAATGAGACCAGCAAACAGGATGCCAAACACAGAGAGGTGGCACGAAACAACACTTGTAAATGATTGGTAGAAAGAAGTGATTACCATAATAAGCCATTAGTCCCTGACTACGACAATAATACAATATATTGGTATGTAACTGTTTATAGGGTTTTCATTTACTTTTATACCACTGTTTATCAAATTGTAAGTAAACAATATCGGGTGTGAGAGTGGTATTACATTACTCAATGTCATATTCTATGAAACGGTGTATCAGAAGCAGTTTTAATTTCGATTTAATCCCTCATAATGATCCACTTACTAAGGCTGATATGGGCCGTAATTGAGCCAGGTGACAAGCTGTACCTATCGGTGAACAGCCAGTACATCACGTTTGACGGAAACAACAGCGGTGTTGGGGGAGCAAAGGACGACTCGCTCGAGTACACGGCAGTGAGACACGACTCAGGCGGAATCAGCTTCTTGAGCGAATCTGAAAATAGGGCACTTAATTTCAGTGCCAATAAAAACAGTTTCAACATGTACTACACTGGAACAGAGAAGGCGAATAACAACTGGGTGACGGATGAGAAGGGCGGATACACGCGACTCATCAACCAGTACGGAAAGTGCGACACTCTCGTGGGACGGAGTTTCGACTTCAAAATGTGCGATAACGGGGCCAACCAGAAGTTCAGGGTGGAATTCACGAATAAGCAGCACCCAAATTACCAGAAAGCAGGGGCAGAATCAGGCTACGTTTCAAAGAATTCGTTACAGTACATGAAGAGTGGGACTGGGCCACACCGGTACAGGATGAATCCGCAGATTATCACGTGGCTGGGGAATACGGTGAGCTACTGAGGCAGAATTAAAACACGAGTGAAACAATCAGTGATTTAATCAGAAATTGTTTTGTAAACATGTTTTCGATAGTGCGTTTTATGGCTGTACTTGGGGCAGAGGAGGAGATTCACCTCTTCAGCCTGTGGGGAGACAAGGGGCTGAAGGCCACTGGGAAGGAGGGAGCGGCTACTGGAATCGTAGACCACAGCGAGGCCACTGAATTCGCCTACACAAAAAGCAACAAGTTCGTCCTGACTGGTGCAAGAAAGTACGTCTTGGATTGGAATAGGGGGAATGATAGCATAATCTCGTGGACTAACAACAGCCACGGGGACTCAAACCAGAAATTCAGGTTTGAAAAGGCCCTATCAGATCCAAGGTACCTCAAGGTGACGGATGGAAGGAGGTGTATGACATTCAACTACAGCAAAAACACCGTTGAATTCAACCAATGCAACAAGTCGTTGGAACAGGTCTTCCTAAAGAAGATCAGGCAGGCAACAAACACGTTTTTGGTGTACACGAAGAAGGGGCCTCATGGAATACGAGCCAAGTTGGAGGTGAATACACCAATTGAACTGGTGGATCCAGGGAAGACAGAGAGCATCTACTGCGATGGATCTACGACAAAAGTTGGACTGGCGTACGCACAGCAGTCGGCATTTGAGTTCAACAGCAGCACAGGTGAATTTGTGCTGAAATTGGAGTCAGCTGGGCAAGTACGACAGGATGTGACATGTGAAATGGGGGTTGGTAACGAATTCAGGCTAAAACACGATGGAAAGTGTTTAACAGTAGACGAGAGCAAAATGAGACTGGTTCTGGAGCCATGTAGTGACAAAATTGAACAGATTTTCATGAAGAGCCTGAAAGAGAAGGAAAAGGATGTTGGGGTAGTGGAACCAAGGGCATTTAAGTTGACAAACAGGGACAATACAAGGGCATTGAAGGGTATTGCAGAGTCAGGGGAGGAAATACGCGTAAAGAACAGGGAAGAGGGAACACTCTGGAACGAGGATAAGGAGGCACCATCAGTGGACATGAAGGGCGGAAACTACTCCATGGACTACTTGGAGAAGGCGCAAACAATGGGAATGTGGAAGAAGGTGCCAGGAGCAGAAGACCAGAGGGTGACACTTGAACCAGATGGCAATGGGCTGTTTTATCTCAAAAACAAGGGGCTTTGTGGGACATTTGAAGGAGACGTCATAAAAATGAGGAAGTGCGATGGATCGGCTGAACAGAAATTCAACAAATTGACAGCTGAGGACGAGATGGCATTGGCAAAGGGAAGCAAGGCAAATCCAGAGACAGGGGGACACCACTACGACATTCACATTACGGGGCCAGGTGAGGAGCACGTGGATGGGAAGAATCCAACAATTCACGTAGATGGGTCACATACAGTGAAGATAAAACCATCAAAAGACGATTCAAAGGAGCCTGAAATAGTAATAGAGCCAATGGAAGGAAAGGAAGGGGTTGAAGAGCAGCCAATAGCAGTGGCAGGCGTGAGGGAGCTAGCAGTAGGTGAAAATGGATTATATGGAGATTTGGGAAGAAGTGGAAGACCAGGGTCAGCCATGAGACCACGAAGAGGGGTGAAAGGAATGAGAGAGGGCGATCCAAGTGGAAGAGGCTCCTTGAACAAAGCAGCTGAAGCACTTGGAGCAGCGAATCCATTGGGAAAGGGGACTGAGAAGGTAAGCGATCCATTGGATAAGGCAACTGGAGCAGAGAAAGTGGCTGAAATAACGAGCAAAGCAGGTGCAACAAATGACAAGACACCTTCAACAGGAAGTGGTATGAGAAAGATAAATAAGAATGCAAATGGAGCAGGAAATAAGGAAACAGCTGGAGACAACAAGAATGACGGGGCAAAAGGACGTCTAAGAATGGATGGGCGAACAGGAGTGTCATGCACTGATGACACGTGTTTGAATGGACACATTTCGCCAGCAAGTGATTTGTAAGGGAAATAAAAAATAAAATAATTGTTGTCAGGTACAAGAATACGACTGTGATTCAGACTGTTTAATATGGAAAGGAGTTGAATATGTACTACAATTACAACTATTATAGGTTTATATTGCATATTACAAGTAAGCTTAAAATACATAAAAGAAAATGTAATCAAAGAAACACCCTTCTAAGAGCAATTCATTAGTAAACTGCTACATACTGGTCATTAGACTACAACAAGTTTATTATATTACTCAACTGACACAAAAACAGGTACCGTAATATACGTAATACTCTAAATAATATGCATAAATAGCATAAAAATAGGAAATAACAAGAAATCACAGCAGAAACAAACCAAAATAACTCTTTTAAGCGTATTTAACAAGCATAAATACGCATATTACACATATAAACAATTCATTAACAATAAAACAAATCAAAACAAGATAAACAGCAACCTCAATACTCTAAGAATGCGATATGACTGTACTGTATTCAGACCAAACATGTGTCACAATCCCATATTACAGCAGCAAGACAGAGTTAAAACGCTCTTGAAACGGACATTAATTTAATCTCAGACCTGTTTTACACATGAATGCAATGCTATTCCTCCTGGATGTGATGGCCAAGACTGGGAATGTCCACCTCTACACGGTGTGGGGAGACAAGGGACTGAAGGCTACTGCCAGAAATGGGGCTGATCTGAGACTTGTGGAGCCCAAGGATGCAACGCTCTTCTTTCTGGAAGGCAACAACAAGTTCTTCATGGTCGACAACAAGAAATACGTCTTAGACTGGAACCAGGGAAACAACCACATCATCACGTGGACCAACAAGAGCTGGGGAGACGCCAACCAGAAGTTTGCGAGCGAGAAGGCGCTGGCTGATCCGGCGTACATCAAGTTGACGAACGGCTCGAGATGCTTCACGGCTGATCCAAAAAGCGGCCTGATCAACTACGACAAATGCAATGGATCATTGAACCAGGTTTTCCATAAGGAAATCAGGGAGGCAAAAGAGACGTTCAAATTCTACACGAAAAAGGGCCCATTTGGAATAAAAATGAAGTTGGAGGTGAAGGCGAGAATTGAGCTGATTTCGCCTGACACCACTGATGAGATCTACTACGACGAGGAGACAAACAGGGCTGGCCTGGCCACTGCGACACAATCTGCCTTTGAATACGACAGCAAATCAAAGGCATTCGTGATCAAGTTGGAGACCAAATCAGCGAACAAACAGACCATTTCAATGAAGAAGTTGAATGAGAACGAGTTCAAATTGATGCACGATGGGAAGTGCCTGGCAGCTGACAGCACTGCCAGAAGCCTGAAACTGGAAGACTGTGCTGATAACAGAACGGAACAGGTCTTCTCGAAGGTGAAGCCACCGAAGGAGATGCCTGTGAGCGTGGATCCACCAGTTGATTTCAAACTCACGAACAAGGACAACACGAAGGCACTGAAAGGGGGCACCACGAACAATAAGCCAATTGACGTGGTGGAACTGAGTGATGGATCGATGTGGTCGGCTGATGAGAATGTGCCATCAGTTGATTTACAGGGAAAGAAGCATTCGATGGACTACATGTCTGATAAAAAGGTGATGGGAATGTGGAGCAGGGTGCCTGGTGCCCGAGACCAGCGAGTGACACTCGAGAAGGACGATACGGGCTTCTTCTTGCTCAAAATAATGGGACTGTGTGGCGCATTTGATGGAAAAGTGATCAAAATGAAGACGTGTGATGAATCAGATGAGCTGAAATTCAACAAGTTGACGGCAGATGACGAAGAGAAGCTGAAATCAGAGAAGGCGAATCCTGAAACAGTGCCAGACCACTACGAAATCCAAATCACTGGGCCATCTGGTGGACCAAAGCAGCCTACGATTCGAGTGGATGCGTCCCACCGTGTCAGAATCAACCCAGCTGTGAATGAATCGGACAAGCCTGAAATTGTGGTGGAACCAGCAGAAGCCAGGTCAAACGAGAACTGTTGTGGCCCACAGCCAATTGGCCTAGTTCGACTGGATGGATCTGCCCTTCCTCTCTACGAAAATGGCTACTTTGGAAATCCACTAAAAAGAAGAAACAGCCTTTGGGAAAGGGGACTGTACGGGAAAGTGCGTCGTAGGAGGAGACAGCCCCTGACTGGGGCCAACAGAAGGGGCGGTGCCGACCGATTGGAAATCGAAGACGAAGAAGACGAAAACATCGTTCCAGCACCAATTGGAAACAGAAACCTGCCTGATTTCATCAAATCAAAGAATCCGCCTGGATCAAACCAGTTTGACCGTCAGGCAGCAGTGGCAACGAGCCAGGTGCTTGACGACCTGATTGATGAGGAAGTGAGGGATCCACACGTCCATGGGAAGCTGATCATGGACGGAAGCACAGACATGCAGTGCCAGGGCAAACACTGCCTAAATGGGGTGGCCATAACACAGCGAGATTGAATGGTCTAATAGGCGTGATCATATTAATTCTGTTTCATTTTCTGACGGTTTCATGTTCCATCACAAAAGTGATCACTATTTTATAGTATGCTTTTTGTAAGGTGGATAGCAGCAAACTACTTTGAGGTAGTCAGGGAGAATGGCCCATCAGCCAATAAAGCAGCAGAATACCAGAAAGAGGAGTGGGAGTGCTACCTGGCAACAAGGGGCCTTGATAGGGCACTGGTTGCAGACAACAGGATTCAGAGCAGAATTGGGCTGGGAGCCCTGAAGAAGGGGACGAAGCTGATTCAGAACCAGAACAGCGGGATGCTGAAGCTCGATGCTGATTTGTCACTGGTGATTGAGATGGACGGAGACTGGCTCGTGATCAGTCGAATGGAGCCAAACAAGAGGAGTCAGCGGTGTGAGATCAGGCGAGACAGGGACGACCTGGTTTCAATCAGGTACGGAAACAGGTGCATGACGTACAGTGGTGCAACAAGCAGGGTGTCACTGGAGCACTGCATTGTTGGGGCGGATGAGCAGCTCTTTCGTGAGATTTATTCGGTGAAGATGTTCAGGCTGTTTTCGTACGACATGAAGAAGAGCGTAGGGGAGTTAGTGGTTGGGAAGAAGATGGAGATTGTGGATCCAATGAGAAGGAGGAGTGGGACATTCCACTACAACAGGAGCGAGGGGCAGCTGGGGTCTGGGGAGCACCAGAGACGCGTGATCGAGGCCAATGCGGATGAGGTGGTGGCTGCCCTGAAGAACGAGAGCAGGGAGCAGCAGTTTGTGGTCGACTACTTTGGGGTTGATCAGATGGTGATCAGGTACAAGGGAGACTGTGCCACCTGGGACTACGAGAAAGGGGTGATTGAAATGAGGCCATGTGACAACTCGGTTGATCAGCTGTTCAGGAAGAAGCATTAGGGAAATGGGTGAAACAGTTTCAGGTGGAATAGAATTGTGGGATGGATTGCTCAGTATGTGGACGCCACTCGTAGAATGCAGCATATTCAGTCTGGAACACACTGATCCAAATGAAGAGGCAAGGAAGCCACCAGTGAGTTTGGATGCAATGGATCATTTGATGAAAGTGAAGGAGCAATATGGGGTGGATGTAGGAATGGGAAGAGTAGGAGAAAAGGGTGATAAGAGGGATAAGGGTGATAAACCAGAAAGAGAGAATACGCCTAGATTATCACAGGAACAGAAGGGTGATAGAAATATGACAGAAAAAGGTGACAGTAAGAGATATACGCCACAGAATCCAGTAACTACCCCTACTACCCCAACAACTACTACTACCACCACTCCATTGATCAATAGTAGATCACCAGGAGTAGAATACTTCTATATCACATCACCAGATCAGAAATACGGGATATCAGTCCATGAAGATGGAACTGCCATTCTAAGGAAACCAGAGGAATCAACCAATTTCAAGTACGAGAATATGCAACTGCATTTGGGAAGTAGAGATCACATGATACTGGAATACAGTGAGAGAGAAAAGAGACTGGTTATAGGAAATAAAGGAAATAAAAATCAAAATGGGACAATATTGATCAAATTGATCAATGATGGTGTGAATGAGATAAGGGTGAATGGCAGCTGTGTGACAAGGGTGGATGAGACCATTCAGCTGAGACCGTGTAAATTGACTGAACTGTCCCAGCAGTGGATGAAGACGTACAGTTTAATCAGAATGAGACTGCTGAATTCAGGTGGAACCAGAAGTGTGGCATTTGGTGAATTGAATAAGCCAATTGGAATTGTTCAGGTGGAAGATGGGATGGATTTGTACTACGATCCACAATCCATGCAACTGGGTCTCTTTGACAGCCAGGGAGTGGTGGCAAAGAGCAACAACTTCAGCAGGGACATTCTGACTGGTAGCATCGACAGAAAGGGCGGTGGCCACTTTGTGATGGATGAGATTGAGAGAGGCAGATTCAGAATCAAGCAGGATGAGAAGTGTGTGGAGTGGGACTACGATGGTGGCAAATTGGTACTGGAAGTCTGTGATAGGAAGGAATCACAGGTGTTTGTGAAACAGGAAGCAGTAAAAGAGCAATAGAGGTAAAACAGGCTGTTTCAGGGTATTTGGGTAGAACGAATTATTCAGAATGGATTGGATGAGTTTGGGACTGATTGGATTGGTCCATGGGAGTGATGGGGTGTTTCTGAAGACTAAGCGTGATCTATTCGTGTACTCCCATGATAATGTGGCACATACTGGGCTAAGGAGTCTTGCTACCCCATACATTATTGAGTACAGTGGTGGTAGAATATCATTCAGAATTATAGGCACAAACAGACAACTGGTGGTAGATGAATCAACTCACATTCTACACAACTGTGATAGTAGAAGTGGAATGAATCACCAGTTTAGACTGGAATACAAGAATGATGGACTATTTCAGCTTCAGATGGCCGTGAATGGGTTCTACTATTGTGTAACTGATATCAATAATGATTTGAAACTGATGGAATGTGATGATGATGAGGGTGATAGACAGCTATTTAGATTGGAGGCAACTCACAGGTTGGTGATGCAATAAATTGGTAGTGATTAATCAATACTGTTTAACTACTAGTTAGTAATATTGGTAGTAATATTACTGCTACAATTAATATTACTATCAATATTACTACTAACTAATTACTACCCTGTATGTGATACATAAGTGGTTTCACATTCACAGCTGTTACAACATAGTGACCATTCAACCATTTTCATGTTTCTGACATTTCTTGGAATTCTCTACTGCTCCAATCCAAGGACATCTCAACCATCCCACAGGCGACAAAGTGGTGAATTAGAACAGAGACGCGTGATGTACAAACCACGAGACTGGTACTACAAAAATGTGTATGGAATGGGGGATCGAACCCACAGGGCTCTGGAATACCGAAACATCTACAAGACACCTAGACAGTAATGGATTTTTGTTATTGAATCATAAAACAGTGTTTCTTATGGAATAATATGGTTTCATTGGAGTAAAATAGCATGATATTGGGACTGATTGGTTCAATTGGAGTTGTTTTCTCAAAAGACTACGGGGCTGGAATCAGTCTTGATTTCGGGATAAAGAAGGCACCAAATCCCCACTATATTGAGTACAGCAGAAGTGGGGTGAGCAAACTGGTGCCACCAGAACATGATACAAAAAACAGGAGTGTGATAGCAGGGAACCTGGGCAATCCGATAGTGAGAAAGGTGCCATCATCTGATCAATACGAGTCAGGGCAGACTACCAGGAATCAACCAAAATTGTTAGGAGAGAGGGTGGTTATAGGAAGAGAGGGTACGAATACGTCAGTTGTAGAGAATGAGGTATTTGATTTATCAACCAAACAGCATGAGCCAATTGAGTACAACCAATATGCAGTGGTTCCTGGATCACTGATGTATAAAACAGCTCACCCTGGGGAGGTGTTCTTTGTCTAATCACTGCTACTTGTGCTCTACCCTGAATCCACCGTCTTTTGAGTAAACGCATTTGATGGCGTTTCTGGGGCAGTTTCTGTAGAGGCGCGAGACGCAGTCTGCGTACGCATCCTCAATTCCCCTCTTGGTGCTGCTGAATTCCCTCTTTATTTTCTTAAGGAGCTGATCATCCTTGTTTCCAGTAGCAGACTCAAACTGCCTCATCAGGGAAGTGGCGTAGTTGAAGATTGGGCCGAATTCACTGGCTGCTTCCTCGAAATCTTCTTCATTATCACCCGTAACTGCCCTGAGTCTCTCTTTCAGTATTCTACAGTCAGCAAATACCCTATGCATGTGTCCTATGTAGTATAATCGTGGCTGGTTCGACTCAAGGCGTGATGCTTCAACTGTGTAGTCAAAGAGTGAGCAATTGCTCGATTCAAACGTGTTTGTGACGAATTGGGGAGCTGGATACATGAAGAGATGGGTTAACTAATTTTATAGGCAATTTCTACCAGAATACTGTGGTAGAAGTTGCCCACGTTGAGATGAACAGAATAGTTAGACTTGATTCAAAGATTGTTAGACAAATAAGTGCTGGTGAAGTGGTTACGTCTCTATTTAGCGTAGCAAAGGAGCTGATAGAGAACGCATTGGATGCAGGTGGAACAGAAATTATGGTTAGGGTAGAGGGAACAGGGATGGTGGTAGAGGATAATGGAACAGGAATAGGGGAGGACGACTTTGATAGGGTGTGTATGGCACATAATACATCAAAATACACGGATAGAATACTATTGGAGCAGGAGTATGGGTCATTTGGGTTCAGGGGAGAGGCACTCTACTCAATAAACCAGGTAGGAGAAGTAGAAGTGACAACAAGGGCAATTGGGGTGGATGTAGGATATAGGCTGAGTTACAGGAATGGGGAATTGGTAGAGAAGAGTAAGGTGGCAGTGAAGAGAGAGGGGACACGAATAGGAGTAATGGGAATATTCAGTAACAATTATATTCGAAAGAATGAGTATTATAGGGGAGATAGAATAAGAAGTAGGGAATTGGGAAGAATAGTGGATTTGGTGGAAGCGTACAACATAAATTATTCAGGAAGAATAAGAATGAAACTGGTAGATGGAGATACAGGAAGAGAATATGGGGAAGAAGTGGGAATAGGAAACAGGGTGTTGGATGTAGATGAGGAAGGATTGAGGATTGTGGTTGGAAATGGGAAGGGGAGATTTCACCTGTTGATAAATAACAGATTGGTAGAAGATAAGGTATTGAGGAAGATGATTTGTGGTAGAATAGGCAGGAATAGGTTTGTGTTTATTTCAACGAAGGTGGAGAAGATTGATGCGAATATTGAGCCAAGTAAGAGAAAGGTGCTGGTTTATGGGAGAGAGAAGATGCACCAGAAAATAATGAAGGAGATTGACAAAATAGGCGAAACAAAGGTGGTAGAAGAGAGCAAGAGAGTGGGGAATATTGAGCAGAAGATGAGGAAAGTGAGTGAGAAGATATACGTGGATCCATCAAACAGGAGATTGGATGAATATGAAAATAATAAGGTGGAAGAAGTGAGGGTGAATAAGGTTAAAAGAGTGGAAGATGAGGCAACTACAGGTAGAAAGAGGCTGAGTTTGAAGGAGACAGTTTACATTGGATCTGATGGGAATACGACGTATGTTCAACTGAATGACTCATTGGTTCAGTTGAATGATATTGTAGTGGAGAACCTGAAGGAATTTAACAAAATCAAAATGGGGGAAGAAAGCGTAGACTACGAGGTGGTAGGAAGTCTACGAGAATTCTACAATCGATTTGGAAGATAAATTAGAATAGGCTTATTTGATTGATTTATGCAAAGAGTAGAATTTGGCCCATCGAATGTCAAACATACACGCAGACCTAAACCACATCAAAATACTCCTCATAGACCTAGTACGAGGAGTTGCTGACGTATGTGCTGATATAAATGATAACAAGTATGTTAAGAGTGTTACGGAGGCAATAAAGAGTCAGTTGACTGAGATAGAATGGGAAAGAACGAAAATGCTGGATGAAATAGAAAGAATCAAGGAGGAAACAGATGGATTGGTGGAAGAGATATACGGGGAAGATGGAGTTGATAGAGCAGAAAGAGTCAGTTTGGAGAGGACTATTCTGTGTAAGATGCAATATGGTGAGGAATTAGAGAAATACAAAAAGACGAAAATGGAGTATGAGATAAAGAATGGTGAGTTGAATAGGGAAATTGAGAAGTATGGGGTGATACTGGACGGATATACGGTGGAAAATGGGAGTAGTATGGATAAGGTGGATGAAAACAACTGCAATAATCCAGAAATAAGCTTAATTCATACAAACAAATTGCTAAAATCAAGACTAGATAGCATAAAACAGAAGTTGCAACAAAATGAGTCGTATAGGACGTACTTCTACACGAACATCAAGATGGTTTCGAGAGACCTGAAGATCGACTGCCCCATTTCATACGATGAAACAGTTCAAGAACTCGATAAGTTGTATAACACCCTCAAGAATGAGCTTGAAACCAATAAGAACGAGTTCATCAGAATCAGAGAGGAGATATCTGCCAGAGAGGAGCTGTTTGGTGATACAGCATGCTGCTTTGATGAGTGCTACAGCAGAAAGTACCTGAAAATGATGATCAGCCACCTTGAACAGGTGAAACAAAATGAGGTAACCAAAATACAAGAAATCAAGTCGACCCTTCTCACAGAATACCACAACGAATTAGCGGAATATCAAACCAATATCACCAAAATAGGAGTCCCTGATCACCAACTGAGCAATCAAACCAATATAGACGAACTGAATCAGGTCAACGAACTAATTGAGTTCAAATCCACCCTGATCAAAATGAAGGAGACCAACTCAAAGCTGTCTGATATCTCCGACCTGATGGGAAAGAGAGATGGTCTCCTCAGTGCAATAGACGAGTTTGAGAAGCTGGCTGCTGATCCCCGCCGTCTCTTCAAATCCTCCTTCCAACTGAATAAGGAGGAGAAATTCAGAAAAACAGCCATTCCAACCCTAATCAAAATTGAAACCGAAATCACCAAAATGGCGTCATCCCCTGATTTGGACCCATCCATCTCCTCTGCCATCTCACACCTCATCCAACACAACCAAATCAACAGAAAGCTCTTCAAATGGTATTGAGCCCGTCATTCTGTAAAACCAATTGTCTTTCAAACAATCCCAGTTTCACCTTTTTTAAAACGGCTTCCTTCCCATTCCATGATATTCAGTCACATCTCAGTCGCATACGGATTCTACCTGGCCCACCATGGGACACAAAACTACGTTGGAATTGTCGATAACAAGGTGATGCTGGTAGACAGAATGGCAGATAGCGTAGACGTCAACATGATGAAGACGGAGGATAAGTCGATTCTCCATTCTGTGCTCTCATTGGGGCAGTCTGCCATTGCTATGGGAGACACGAATGTGCTGGTTAAGGCGGGTCTAAACGCATCTGATTCAAAGCAGGCAGCTGTGGTTGTTCTAACTCACAATGGGACATACGTGGTGAAGTTCGCTGATAAGTGCCTAGGGGAGAGCACTGACTCAATTGTAGGCATAGAATGCACGAGACCAGACGTATTGGAGTTTGACAGGGTCGATATGAAGAGTAGGCCATACGGAAATCCACAGACTACGTCCTACAGTAGAACAACCAGAACAACTACGTCCTATACGACTCCAATGAGCAGTCACACTGGATTCACAGGTGGAAGCAGTGGAATGTACTAAATCACATTGATGGTTTTACTTCTGTTTTATAATTTAAACAGATTTAAACACGGTTGAAACCATTTGATGAATATTCTGTTTGCCTTGGTCTTAGTCGTTGGGGCAGAATACATTCGTGTTGCAGGAAGCAGGCAGTATCTGGGGCACAGAAACGGTCGAATTGTGCTTACAGGGAGAAGTGGGGCAGCCCATTTCTATCGAGAACGTGCTGGATTCAGTGATGCATTTTATACCAGAATTAAATTCATGGCAAATGGGGCATGGCATGTTCTGGGGGGCGGAAGTCGTCTTGGGGCTGTTCACTACCCAGGGGGACAAGAGGACAGGTTTAAGATCACCCTGAACAGCAAAAACAGCTTCGAACTGAGAAATAGTCGAGGTGGATGCGTATCAGGGGGAAGAAGCAGCGTTGGAATGGGCAGCTGCTACCGTCCAATGCGATTTGTATTCGAAAACAGGTTCAAAGTCCCAGATTTGCGCAGATCAAAGGCAACGAGGAGTGCAATGGCAGTATCAGACTGGATCAAGGAGGAGATGTTGAGTGGGCACTATGGGCGCAGAAGTGGGATGCTGGAGACGTATGAGCGACGAGTGGGGCGGATGAGAAGGTATAGGAGGCCAATAATAGCAGAATACTACGTTGAGATAATATAATAAATTGATCAATATTGATCACTAATATATTTCAGAAAAATCAACCTAAAACAAAATAGGTCAAAACAGCATTCAGTTTCATGTTGTCAAACACAATGCTATTCCTTACCACAATCCGGGCAGTCTATTTCGTGCAGAAGGATACAGGGCTCTTTCTCTCAACCACAGGAGACAAGTTTGTGATAAATCACGAGCCAAATGATTTTGAGATAGCAGACACGAAGGAGAAGGAGAAGAAGGTGATAAAGTACAATGGGAAGGCAATGACGAACAGTTTCAAGGCATTCAGAAACAACCAGGCCAAGTTGAAGAGTGCCAGTGGGCGAGACAACCAGGAAATGCGAGTTGTATTCACAGGAAGGGGAACTGTTGGAATTGCGAATGGATGGAAGTGTCTCATAAACAAGGAAGGACAAGCCAAGTTCAAATGGTGCAGCAGTGGTGGAATGGCTGAATTCAGAATGTGCTATGATCACTATTGTTTAAGAAGATATGGAAGATTAGGAGGAATGGGTCATGGAGGAGGCCATGGCGGATTCGGAGGTGGATTTGGTGGCGGTGGCTACGGATTTGGATTCGGAGGTGGATTTGATGACGGATTTGATGGTGGATTTGATGGATATGGCGGATTTGGAGGAGGTTTCGGTCACGGTGGTGGATTTGGAGGCGGATTTGGTCACGGTGGTGGCTATGGCGATGGCTACGGTGGATTTGAAGACGACTGCTTTGGTGGTGGATACGGTCACGGTGGTGGCTACAACAGGGGACATGGTAGACGTAGATTTGATGACTACAGTGATAACGGATTTGGATCAGATTTCTATGATTCATGTTCAGATGATGAATTTGATAAGGAAGCAGCAAGAAAGCAGTCTCCTTATAAGGATATTGCATTCAAAAGCAGAAAAGTGAGACGTATTCGAGACAACTATGCTACAGTTGATGAATACAATATGAGGAAGAATATGCCATTGAACAAGAAGCAGCTTCAGAATTTGGGGAACCTGAGAAGATGTGGAGCAATGCACTGTCCTTTGGATGCAGAATCACAGGCACTGTTTGACAAATTGTGTATGGGAATAAAAATAAAGACAGGTTTGGAAAACGGGGAAATAAGTGGAAACCCAATGAATTACGTAAGATGTTGTAGCACAAATCCACTATGCCCAGTATGTGCATGAGATAGTGATCAGGAATATTGATCAAAGATAGTGATCAATAATATCGATTTAAGCATAGTCACTCTCGATGCTTCTTTCTCTAAAACCATCTGCCTTTTCACCACTGAACTCATCTCTATCAAATCTCCTTCGTGGCCCAGAATTGTTCAGGCTTCTTATTTTCTTCCTCACCAATTCCACTCCATCACTCTTTTCCTCTGAATTGTAGTCTCGTCTTGGTCTCTTGTTCCTGCTACGGTCTTGTGGCTCGTCAAACTCACCATTGTTCTCCTTCTCTGTCTCACAATCACGTTCATCAAACATGAATTGCTGCCTATTGCTACTACTCACCTCAAAGCTGTTTGATTCCTCCCTTCTTCCACGATGCTGTGGTCTTCTACCTTCTCTCTTCTCCATTTCATCTACTGGTGCAATACTGAACTTGATCACACTCTTCTGATTGCACCTATCGAGTCTAATTTTGCCACTGGTGTAAGCCAAGCATCCATTTGTGTTTCTGAATATCACATGGAATCCCTGTATATCTGGTATAAATATCATGTAAAACGGCGTCTTCTTTGTTGGATGCATCTTCAGAACACCATCATCAAAGTGGATGAATTTGTGGTTGATTTTGATCAGGTGGCTCAGGTGATCGGTTTTGATCAGCTCAATCGCATGTTTCTGTGGGGTAAGGTGAACTGTATTTCCACGAAGGCCTAGGAATCCTCTGTGTGCTCCTCTAGCATCAATATCAGCTCTCAAATAGTATCTGGCTGCAGAAAGTATATTACATAAATGCAACCATATTCCCATGATTCACTAGTTCATAATATTTTAAAACTGAGTTTCATCTGGTTTATTTATTTTGAAGGAATCCTACAGAATGGTAGCAGAAGAGACAAATGAAACTATGGCGGTACAGGCGGGAGAGATGGAAACTAAAACAGCTGCAAATAAAATTGGAACAGTCAGGCCATTTTATGCAACAAGAACAGAAAGCAGTCAGCATCTGGTTTCACAGGAGAATCTCGTAGGAGAAGGCAGAGTGGATCTGATTGATTTCAGGGAGTCAGATGATCAGACTGACTCCAGTGTATTCAACAACTTGCTAATTGATCTATCATTGGATTCAGTTAATACACTAAGGAAAATCAACAAATTCACCAAATACAGTCCATTGGAACAAAGGCAATTTATGTTGGCGATGAAAGTGTATCAGGATAGTGGGACACTGGGTGCATCACTGATATTTGAAATATTCATCAAAATACACTTACACAATAAGATCACCAAAAATAGTCTAGAAATTACAGACATTAATCACGAAGCAACTAATATGATACGAAATCTAGCTGATAAACACATCAATATCGAGAGAGACGGCAAAATAAACATTCTGGCATTCATAGTCAGCAAAATAACCACAAACCAAATCAATAGTGCAATATTCAAGTACGACATCTACTATTACATTGAAATAGAATTCATCAATCAGTCTAATTTCAATAGGAACATCATCTACGAAATGAATCAACTGAATCAGAACACCCTTATAAATTGGAGTAAGGCAACTGAGAGCAAATACAAGTTCATCAATGAGACGAATGAAGTATTGCTCAATCAGATTAAGCACATGTCAAATGCATCTGTTTTGGTCACACTGTTGGAGAACCTGAGGAACTATGAGTATGTATGGATCAAAATTGATTTCATACAGAAGAACTGTCTCTACTGTGTGGAGAAATTGCTGATTGATGTTTATTTGAATGGAAATAGGGTAGTTGGCAGCAATTCGAATAAGCTAGGAAACAGTCTAGAAAATATCACTGGAACAGATCTAGCAACATTTATCAGTCCAAAAGAAAAGAAAAGTGGAACAAACTACAAGACACTGATAAGAATACTGAAGAAGTTGGATAACTTCCCACTATTGATCAATTTTATACGAAAAACAGGGTGTACTGAAGTAAGCAGGCTCTTTTACGATATGGCAAACAACAATAAGATTCAGAACTGCTACTTTGTGGAAGCATTGATAATCAATTTGGAGGAATTACATCTTCTTAATGAGACTAAGCTACAGGAATTAGTTGGAACATGTTATTTGATCTATATTCTGGATGAATACAAGAACTACAAGAGGACAATGAGAGTCCTAGTTGGTAGGAAGATGATCAATTACGTGATTATTGATTCCATCAACAAGAATCCAAACAAGAGCCTGAGAAACACCAATCAAACAATTAAGAAAATTGATTATTTGTTGGGGCTGATTGAAATCAGTGAGCTTGAGAAAATAACAGAAAAAGATGGCAACAAAACAGCAGCACAGTTACTGAACAGAATGTACCAAAAAGAGATCAGGATTCTCTTAGAAGATCACAATGTTGATTTCAACACCAAAACGAGTTTGATCAACATATTCATGGGATTAAGAAACCCAAAGTACCTGGATGAAGTATTCAAAATAACTGGATCAATATTAATCAATAGAATCAAACATATTCTAGAGGATGATACATTCAATACGTTTGTGATAGAATTGATCAGGTCATTGATCAGGAAGAATATTTGTGTACAGAATATTCAGAATAGCATTGGGGATGAAATGATAAGGAACATCCTGGAAAACTCAGGTGAAATGGAAGATGGACACTACCTCAGGGATGCCAAGGTGGAAATTGAAACTAAAGAAAAGGAATTTACACTGATACTGCTAGGAAATAATTTGAATGAGTTGGTAGTTGAATTCACAGATGAAATGGGGATGATTGAAACATATTGTGACATGAATGTGGGTGATAGAATGCAAATTCAGTACAAAAACAAGGTGCTTAAGACAACAAACAAACAGATCAGTATGAAAAACATTAGGAAAATAGTGATAAAGAACAGGACAACAAACCATGTGCTACTAAAGCAGCTCTTCTATTACGAAGTAGCAATTGATATCGACTATCCCAAGAATGAGACTGATCTATATCAGCTATACGTGAAACCACTGATGAAATTGCTTGAATTCCACCGGAAAAATGGTGTTGCAATTAGGAAGCACATTGTGAATCTCAGTAAGGAGAATGTACAGTTGAAAATGCATAACGTGATGGCGTTGCAGCAGAATAAAGAGTGAAATAATTCAGGGAAGTTTTTGAAGGAATTTGAGAAATTTATGCCCTATGGAAAAGATATCAGAATCTCAAAAATCAGCAGATGCTGAATTGTACCAATTGTATTCAAACAAGACAAATAACGAGTTACTTGAAGAAGAAACCAATTACAGCGTAATAGCTAGAATATTTCACAGTAGAAATAACATCAAAGAATATTTGGTGTTTCTAAGGAATAAGCTGGCATATGGATTGGAACACGAGAAGACTGTTGCATACAAAATAATTTTAGATCACTTAATTGAATTGGATGATGAATACATCAACGAATTTGTCAATTACAACAACATAGAACTAGAAAGACTCTATGGTGGAATATGCAGAAGTAGAAAGGAAAAAATAACCAATTTGATGAGTTACAGCACTGGTGTCTATTTAGGATACACCAAAAACAACACAGATTCAACCAAGGCAATCAAAGAATATTGGATTAAGATCAATAGTGATATTGCTGAATATTTCAGTGAAGAAGATATCAAAGATAATATCAAATACTGCCAAAAGTATTTGAGCAAAATCACTGATTACAGTGATATTGATTACGAATACGTGATGTACATGATAGAAAATAGGATAGGAAATGTAATAGAAAATATCAGGACAATTTGTGATAAGAATGTTGTTATGAAAATAGCAATGAACACAAGCAATAAAAAGGTGTTCAATGAATGCCGTAAGAAATGCGTGATAATGAACTGGAACAATAGTGAGATTGAAATACTCAGATGCTACCATAATGGAAGCAAAATGGATGGTGTTGAACAGATTAAAGAGAGCAAAGGTAACAAATTACTAGAACTAGCAATATCATTCCAGTATTTCATCAGATCAAATTACACCATTCATGACATCATTGATCTACCAGAAACATTCTTCAATTATGGCTTGAATATTATCAAGGAAGATGACACCTGTAACAAACTAATCTACAAATGGTATAGCAACAGGTTGTACAAAAAGAAACTAATTAGAATAGAGCGAGAAATAGATCAAAGTGGCGTAAAGAGTGAAATTATGGAATTAAGACAGAGAATAATGAATAGAAAAGCAGTTGAAATGCAATCCGGTAACAAAAACAGGGCTGAATTTATTACGGTGAAATATGAAACAGAATTATTCAAGAAAGACCTGAGAAACACTGAAGAGCCAAAAGAATCTGAACAAACAGTGAAATCAGAAAATGAGAAATACATCAAAATATATGATACAGTATTCAATTTCATCAATGTGAGTGATAACTACAGGGACAAACTGATATCATTGCTGGAAAATATCAGTTATAGAATATTCATCAAAATGTTCAATGATTTCTACAGATGCGCCAAAATGAACAACAGACTGAATTATTTAGAGCAGTTTGTTCTGGCTACGTTTGATCAATACACCATAAAATACGCTGATGTCAAAAAGGAATTCTGTGATATAGCACGTACCAGCAAAAACAAAGGTGAATTAATCAAAATACTAGCAGGATCAGTTGAAGATATCAGTGACCTTGTTTCAGATCACATCAGTAACATGCATGATGAACTAATTGATGCAGTATCAGAGGGAATAAGCAGAAATCGGAGTATTAAAACAGGCAAATTTAATCAGAAATGGGATAAAATTACAACACTAATACTATTGAAAGCAGGCAAAATAGAAAACAAGAATGATGTTCTAACAATATACGAGGATGATAGAATACTAGAAGAGATATTGACCAACATTGATCAGAACACTGATGATTGTATCAACGCCAAACTGGTCAGAATATTCATCAATAGAGGTTCATTGGATTATATTGGTGCGTTATTAATCAGTAGAATCAACATCATGAAAGTTGATAAGGATGATTTTGGTAGAATCAGGGAAGCATGCTACATGGATGTTGTAAGATACGTTACGAGTGGAATCCATTCTATTTGTGAGGTAGATCAAAATAGAATCTGTAGGAAGCTGTTGTATGAACTGAGTAACGTCTTTCATAGCAGCATATTTGATACTGTGGTTGAATATCTGAATAGAAATATGAAAAATATCAATTCTGGTGAAATATTTGCAGATGCTCTGTATAAAAACAACGGTGCCAGTTACCTATTTAGAACATTTGCGATAGAACAAATTAATATAAACCATTTGGATGAAGTTGGATTCAGCAAACTGATGCATTACATGATGAGAGAAAAAGAGGTGATTGATTTGAATAGGACATGGATTCAGAGAAATAAGACTGTAATAGAAAAGAAGTACAGCAAATTGCTTGAAAAATGGTTTAAGAATGAGAAAATACGATTTGCAATGAATGAGTTGATATGATACTATCATTAGGAATAAAAAATATTGCTAGGTAAAATATTGTTTATTACAAGGTGGCTCTTTTGAATAGGTCATTTTATAGGTTCAAGCAACATTTACTGGCATCAATTCAACCATATTACGAATACGGTTACTAAACAAGGTGTTATATACCTGTTGTTGAATATAATCATACCTGTCATATGGTGCTCGATATCATTTTTACCTTGTTTGTTTCTGATCAAAACAAAAACAACCCTTCAACAAACAACCTGATTTATTCTCATCAATCCACAAACAGCCCAATAAATTAGTCCAAAACAATCAACATTTGCTCCTTTAATTTAATTCACCACTAATTAAATTTGATTGCTGAAAAATAACCCCTATATGCCTACAATCAAAGTATCACACAGAAACAAAAACAAAGAGATAACACTGGTTTGTAAGGACAACGAAAGCGTAGGAGGCGTTCGAGCCATGTTGATGAGCAATAAGTTCGTAACATCTGTTGAAAACTGTGTTCTGACATGCAATGGAATTGGAATCAAGGACAGTGATGTGGTAGTGGATGAAATGCATCTGGTTGTTCAGGACAACAGCAACTCGACGTACATTGATCCCGATGACTCGAATATACTAATAAATAACGGAAAGAGATACAGAATCAAGGAAATCAGAAAGAAACTCACATACAAGGAGCGAATTGATCGGATGAGAAATAGAACTCGTAGAACAATCAATAGAGTGGTGCAGCAGTATGCGACACTCACGAACGTGAATATGGCGATTATGATGGCATTTCTGGCCAAATTCAACACGCAAATGTTCATGTTTGTTCTCTTTATAAAAATGATACGATTTTTCAGTAGAAGCCTGAACGACCCTGAGGAGTGGAAGCAGATGAACAGATGGGTCAAGGTGCCACTGATGTTCTTCTGCTCCCTCTTCTTCATAGATCACCAGCGCTTCATCCAGAAGGAGTAGTAATTTACGGTAATAAATTTTAAGCACTTTTTATTGGATTATTCTGATTCCTGGCTGAACTTGATTTTGGAGCTCTGCTTCACTGGATCTCCCCCAGTCGCCCTCTCTGACTCCTCGCTCTTCCTCTTCTTGGCCATGCTGATCTTCTCACCCTTTGAGAATGTCGTCGTACTGTGCTCGTCCAGGTCAAACTTGTCCTTCTTGTCACCGCTCTTCTTCTTCACAATCCTCTTTTTGGTTCCCTCCTTGTAGAACACCTCTGACTGCTGTGAATCACCGTTGTTCCTATGGCCTCTCTTTCTTCCTTCCCTATCGCCCTTCTTCTTGCTCTTGTCGCCTATGTTCATGAAACACTTCCTGTCATTGATAACCACATTGCTATTCAATGCCTTCGCTGCATCCTCCTCGTTCTTGAAGTCCACAAATCCAAATCCCTTGTTTCTACCCTCATTCTTCCTGTCCTGTGGAACTGAGATTGAGATGATTTCACCAAATGGCTCAAACGCCTTACGCAAATCACCCTTGTTCGCAGAAAATGGGAGATTCTTCACAAAAAGTGTCGCCTTCTTCGACTCAACGTGCTGCTTCTTGGCCATTTCAACGCCAATTTCTCGTCCTAGCACCTCCTTTCCGTCCAGTTTCAGTGCCATCTTCGCGCTATTCTCCTCCTTGAACTCCACAAACGCAAATCCGCTGTTTCGTGCTCCACCGTGGTGCATTGGCACCTCGCATCGCACAACTTCCCCCACTTTCGAGAACTCAGCCTCCAAATCATTCTCCTTGATATCGTAGTTGAGGTTTTTGATAAAGATCGTCTTGTTCGATTCATTGGTTTCACTCTGGGCGTAGCTTTCACTTTCAGTCAGATCCTGCAGCTCCTTCTGCGCCTGCTGTAGCGCATCATCCGTGATCGATGGCATCTCTGCCTCTGTCGACGCTGTTTCTTCCTCATTGGTCTCCTTCACTGGTTTCAAATCAGCAGGCTTCTTTTCAATTTGATTATTTTCTCTCTGAAATCCCTTTTCTTCTCCACTTTCTTCCTGTGGTACTTTCTCGTTGATGGCTTCGACTGAACTCGTCTCTGATTCCTGTTTCTTGGTTGCTTTCTTCTGCTGCTTTTTGGGCACACTCTTCTTTGCCATAATAGTGGGGTAAAAATTTGCTAAATTAATATTCAGTAGAATTAGTGCATGGATATTGAAGTAGCCACGTATGGTCTCATTTGACTAAACAGTACTTGCAGTAGACACATCTATTAATTGGATTTTGATCACTTTCTTAGTCAAAATGATTGGCTTTGGAATTTGTCCTGGCTTGTTTTTATTTTCACTATTTTTACCCCAATGAAATCAGTATTAATCCATAGGGGAAACACTTATAAAACCAAGAGCAACAGACGTGTGAGGAAAGTGACGCCAAGCAAGAAGGTGGTGAATGTGCGAGTGGGAAAGAAGGGAGCGATGCACAGGTGCCACGACTGCAACCAGAAAATAACGAGCATCATTCAAATGAGAACTGCCAAATTCTCAAGGCAAAAAGTGTCAAAGAGAAGGGTGAGCAGACCACTTGGTGCAACACATTGCTCCAAATGCGTAGCAAAGAAGATTACAGTGGACTTCTTCAACAACGAGACCAGGGCAGTTAATAAATAATCTACTCAACTGATTAGTATAAAAAAGTGCCTTTAGCGAGAATTGAACTCGCGCTTGTAGATTATGAGACTACTGTACTAACCATTATACGATAAAGGCGATAAATTTGTTAGCTGAGTATAAATGTATCTTTTTTTGGTATACGTTATCTTGTCTCATTATTGCAGCATATTCAGAAGAATTCCTTTCCCAGGCTACTTTTTCTCTTTTCTTTCTTGGCTTCCAAACTGCCAATTTCAGGCCCATGAAGACGTTACAGACAAAATTTGAAATGGACAAATTCTACAAACCACTCAGAGTCTACGTTGATAAGAAGTACAAGGGAACCAAAGAGGAGTACTCCAAGGAGTTGGAGGAATCGTGCACCATTTACATCCAGAATATCCCACTTCATGTCAGAGAAGAGAGACTTTGGAACATATTCAAGTTAGTTGGTGAAATTGATAAGGTGATAATGGGAGTGAATAAGCAGCACTATTTCGTAGGATTCGCGTTCATCATATTCAAAAGCAAAGAAGATGCTACCAGTGCACTCTACTACATGAATGGAATCAAAATAGATGGAAATCAACTTGCTTTGGATAGGGATATTGTATTCACTGAAGAAAGGCGATATGGAAGAGGAGAAGGAGGCGATACGATGCGCACCTCGATGTCCAAAAGAAGAAGAAATAGATAATCATTGGCTGATTTGATTTAAAAAGTGGGTGGCTATGGCCGTAATGGAGATCTATGAGAGCATCTACAAGAAGCACCTGGTAGACAAGAAGATCATTGGATTTGGAGCAAGTAGTAGAATCAAGATGTTTACTGAGACACTGCCACCTGATTCAAACAAGACGTACGTTCCAACAGACATGCAGTCTGAAATGATGCTGAGTGACTACGATTTGCGCATTCTTCCTAAATACGTGGATTTGTACGTTGATACGACAGACCTGTTTGTTGAACTGGAAAACGGTAGGAGATTCCTTGTGAAGGGACTCAGCCATTCTGCGGTGAAAGAAAAGATACTGTACAGTTTGGCAGATAAGAAACTGGTATTGTACGATAGCAAGAAGATAACTAGGACAGTGGCGGGACTGTACATACCTGTTGAGATCATAAAAGAGAGCTATTACCACGTGTGTGACGTGATAGCAAGGAAGTACAAGCTGAAACAGAGAATAAGGCTAAATGGACCAAATCCATACGTGAACAGTATGGGGCATTTTGTACTGATGGTGGAGTACAGCGAGAAGTTCATAAAGGAATGTGAGAAGATTGTTGGAGTGGTTGAGCATGGAGTATTCGAAATAGACGAGAATACGATTTTGGAGGGGATATAAAAATAACATGGCTTGGAATTGAACCAAGGACCTCTGGGTTATGAGCCGAGCACGCTAACCACTGCGCCACCATGTTGAAAAATACGTGAACATTCATTAAAAGCTAGTGGGATTTCATCTTTGTAAAAAATGGCCATGGAAATTGAAAATAAAAGAGACACTCGTATAGAATACAGGTTTGACAGAAATAATGAGCTTAAGACAACCATTACAGAGAGATACCGTAGAGATATCACACCAGAACTCATTGATGAGTCACAAAAGACCATATATCTCGTTGAATATGGAACTATTCAGGAATATTTTGGACTGATTTATATTCTTGAGAAACAGCTCATTGTTCTACAATCTGATATTTTGGACATGAATGAACAGGCATACAGTGTAATGAAGAACAACATGGATAAATACAACTTATTTTATGACGAATTCCATAATTCGCCTGAAAATGAGATCAGAGGAGGAAAGAAGATAAAAACAGAAGAAAGGTCGAAATACAGGAGGATTTTGATGCTGTATCAAGAGAAATACACCAATAAAACATTTGAAATATTGGACAAGAAGAAGATGGGAACACTACAAAACAGTCTAATTGATGATTTATTGCTAAATCCAATAAAACCAGTTGAAATCAAAATGGTAGAGGTGGAGTATGATGTTGGATTCTTTAGGGTGAACACATACGACAAGAGAACTGGTTTCTTTGTAACAGATGAGAAATCAATTAAGGTGATCAATATTAAGAGATTCATGAATGGAGACAGGTTGAAGTTGAGAAAGAACTTCAACAACGATATAGTGGATGAGGATGAGTTTCTGGAACTGAACAGTCTGAAAGTTAGAACACTTGTTGGTTCTGTTGTGGAAAGTAAGAAGCAGGGATTGGTTCAAATCAAATCAATTCAAACGATATTTGGTGAATTCGAGTATAAAACTGAAAATAGTACACTGATTGGCAAAAAGGTGATCTTTCTGGCACATAATTCAACTGAAATAGAAGTAGTTCGTGTACTAGGAAACACATGGGTCTATGAGGATGAAGTTGATGCCATATTTGAGCATTTTGGACAGAATTACTACAAGAACAAGCATCTGAATGTGGATGTGAGTGAAGAAGTAAGTGAGAGAACGTATCAGATCAGAAAGAATGAGTCAATTTTCAGTGGAATACAAAATAGTGGGCTAATTGATTTGACTGATAAACTGATATGCTCAATTGATCCACCAGGGTGTGTAGACGTAGACGATGCATTGCATCTTGAGGAATTTGATGACTTCTATGAAATTGGAGTACATATTGCTGATGTAACACATTACATAAAGGAAGGAAGTGAAATAGATAGAGATGCATTTTATAGGGCAACAACGATATATTTTCCAGAACTACGAATTGATATGATTCCACCAAAATTGAGTACAGAAATATGCAGTTTGAGAGAAGATAAAACAAGTAGAGCATTTTCAGTCATATTTAAGGTGAAGAAGGAGACATATGAAATTGATAATGTGGCCTACACAAAATCAATTATTAAAAACAAGAGAGCGTTTACATACGAGGAGGCAACAAAGGTGGTTTATGAGGGAGAGGAAGACGAATTCAAGTGGAGTTTGACGAGGATGCTTGAGTTTACAGAACACCTGAAAACAAAGAGAATTGAGAATGGAGCATTACTGTTGAATAAGGGAGATGGTAGCGAGAAGGTGTATCATCTAAAGAGTTTGATAGAGGAAATGATGCTGTTAGCGAACATAAATGTGGCAAGGAAGATATTTGAATACAACAAGGGCTATTCCATACTAAGGAAGCACCCAAAACCATCCAAAATAGCCATTGAAGGGTATGGTATGGAGGGAATAGAGACAGGACCAGAAATCAACGAGTTTTTGAAGGAAAACAAGGGCAATTTATATTTAGGAGCATTAATGACTAGGAATCTACAACAGGCGTATTATTTTGCAAGTGGAACTGAGACAGATTACAGTCACTTTGGTATTGGCTGTGACATATATACGCATTTTACGTCACCAATCAGACGATATGCAGATATTCTGGTTCATAGGACACTTGCAGATGTCGTCAAGTTTGATCAAGAGAATCAAGGTTGCTGTTTATTGAACATGGAAAACAAGATAGTGAGGAATAAGGAATTGTTGCGTAGAATAGACCATTATAGTGGAATAATAAACGAAGAGTCTTGCAGGTGGATCAATCATCGTAATATAGCAGCAAAGAGAGCATCATTCATGGCAAATGAGCTATTTATTGCCTACAACCTGAATGAATATAAAGCAAAGGAGTATGTTGGTGTGATAGCAGCAGTGAATGATACAGTGATGGTCTATGTTCCAGATCATGAAATAGAAGCTGTATTGATTAAGAAGAATAGAACAGAATACAAGATGTATGACACAATCAAGGTGCAGTTTATAGGAGACTTCTCTAACTGGTGTGTAGACAGGGTGTTTAAGCTTAATGAGGTTAGTTAGACTTAAACAAGTAGTAAACCATTTTATTAGCACCTTCTTCCTCTGTGTCCTCCCTTTCTCCTACACGTATCGTGTGGAATTGGTGTTGCTACGATAATTCGTCCAACTCTCATTCCTTCTGTTGCAACAAACGTCCTGATTGCAGCCTGTGCTCCAGCACCAGGATGCCTACGCTTCAGACCACCCCTTCCTCTTAGTTTAATGTGGCATCTTGTTATTCCACATGCAATGGCCTTGTTTGCTGCATCCTGTGCTGCCTGAATTGCAGCATATGGTGATCCCTCGTCCTTCTTAGACTTCACTTTCATTCCACCAGTGAATTTGGCATATGTGGTTCTACCAGTCAGATCAGTCACATGGATGAATGTTGCATTCTTGGTGCTCAGAATGTGGCATACTCCTATTCTATCATCCTTAGGTGCCTTATCTGGCACTTCAGCCGTCTTTGGTTCCTCAATCACCTTTGGCTCTTCAACAATTGGTTCTGCCATAGTTGGGTAAATTTTTGTAGAATTTTATAAGGGAAATTCTGCTTTATAAAAGAGTACTATAAGCGCATTTTTAGTCAATCTGCAGCTACCAAAGTGACATCCTCGGCTAATAAGGTGTTTGAGCATTGAACGAATTTCGTACAAGCACCTGTTACAGTGCTCTTACTCACCCCTTTGACTTCAATCCAATAATAGTAGCCTCTTTTTGGAAAATCTTCATTACACAGCTTGTTATGTTTCATATTAAATATAATTGGTGTACTGAATCTAATTGCCTCGTATACATTTCTGCTTTTAGGTGTTTTAGATTCCTTTAATGTAATATCCACAGGAACATCATACCGTAAGGTGCTATCTTCATCCTTGAATTCATAAAACATTTCAACGTACTCACATTGGTCATTGCGCCTGACACTGTGTAACATTATTTCAATTGCTGTCATTAACGAAATAAAAATGTTAAACATGGACTAAAATACCTGATTTTTCTAATCAAATAAAAATTGTTTTTTTGATATTCTACAAAATGCTTTACTTATCTCGATGGCTCTGAGTTCGATGACGACCCAAATATGTCGTAACTCTCCGATGTTGATAGATTCTGTTTTTCCCCAGTAATAAATGGATGGTTCAATAATTCATCCACAGTTGGCCTCTTCTTGTAGTCCACATGCATGCATTCCTTAACAAAATTGATTAATTCGGGTGACGTACGTTCTCTAAATAGGAACCTGTGGTTCTTAATCCCGTTATGTGTGTTTGTCTTATTTGATATAAATCGCATGTATTCTGAGTCGTCCTTGTTTCCATCTGAGTCGTAAAACATGATGTTGCCTAGTGACATGTACCAGACAGATGCTCCCAATGCCCAGATGTCAGACATAGCCCCGTGTACGTTCTTCTTGATCACTTCTGGTGCCTTAAACGGGTATGTGCCGTAATTCTTTCTCGGTATCACAGCCATTTTCTCTTGGAAATACTGCGTATATCCAAAGTCAATCAACTTGTATTGGACACTTCCGTCTTTCTGTGTTACTCCCATTATATTTGCTATTTTTATGTCTAAATGCGCATAATTATTGTCATGCAAGTATTTGAGCCCAAGCAACGCATCGTGTACGATGTGTTTGATGACCTCTTCGCTCCCACTGACGTGTCTCTCGTTGATCTTGATGTCCATGAACTCGAAGAATATCCAGATGAGCGTCTGCTTCTCCTTCTTTTGCGGATCCTTTGGATTCGATACCATTCGGAAGCTTCTTGTGCTCATGAGCGCATTCACAAGGTACCTGCTCTTTCCTTTCAGCATTGTGCACGTCTCATCCTCGTTCAGGCCGTTGTTCTTGTTCCAGATGACTCTCTTTAGAATCACAGGCTTACTCGTATACGTGTATTTGAAGACTGCCGTAGTAGTCGACATTCGTATAGGCTGGATGGGCAGACTCGTCTTGATCTGCCTGAATGCCTTGTTCTGCTTCGTCCTCGTCTCAAGCAGCAATATCTCGTCTAATTCCTTGTTAATAAATTCCATACACCTATCTAACATCTTTGACTTGAGAATTGTGGGTTGGAACTGTTTTGAAAAAAAATCGGAAACAAACCAGGTAGCCAATGCAATGAACAAGAGCACCAAAACAACTGTGATACTGCGTTTGATTCGCTTAAATGTGTTGCGGATGCTCTCGTACATACTATCCTTCTTTTTGTGTTCGTCCATTTCGAAGTATATCCCTCTCATTAATTCCATTTTATAAACAAAACAAATAGCGTGTTATCAAAATAGGACAGCTTGTTTTAGTTTCCAAACAAACACTTGTTTATCGATCAATATTGATTACGCACATACAAATCCATATATGATCAAATTCTAATATTTCAAATTTTGCACCGTAGAATGACTGAAGATAAGAAGCCAGTTGGCTACAAGAAAGTCATAGGGATGCACAGCAAAAAGTACAGTAGTGTAAGCTGGAGTCAAAGAAGGCCAAACGCCGATCAAGGTGCAAATAATGAGACACAGAAGAAGCTAAAAATAAACGAGGCAAAAAGAGTTACGTGTTACATGCCTACTCCAAAGAACAATGAAATAATTGATTTAGATCCGGAAATAAAGCAACCTAAGATGAATAAGGTGTCCAACTTCAACATTTCAATCAAGTTCAAGTTAAACAAAACAGGAATGGTCTGTGCTGCACCATCGATAGACGTGTTAGCAAATTATTTGAGCAAAAAAGAAGGAGCCAAATTTGTGTACAAAGAGAATATATGGCAATTCAGGCCACGTGACTACAAGGAGGTTATTGCATTATTGAAGACAAATGGGATCAAATTCAACAAGATACCAGAGCCAGTGATCAATATTGCACTGAAGCCGGTGTATAAAAGAAATTATAACCTACAAGGGGGCATTTACGACAAATTGATTGATTTTCAAATAGAAGCGGTAGAATTTGGAATATCAAAAAGTGGTAGAGTTTTACTTGGTGATGAAATGGGACTTGGTAAAACAATACAGGCATTGGCTATAGCCAAATACTACGATTCTGACTGGCCACTGCTTGTGATATGTCCAGCTGGTTTGTTACATGACTGGCGGGAAGCAATAGGTCTGTTCTTGGATGCTAGTAGTACGATAGTACGAGATAGTGTTGACTTTGGTGATAAAATAAGCATTATTAGCAATGTAATGGCCATAAAATATAGTGATATGATTACAGCTGACAATTATAAGGTGATTATTGTAGATGAGTGTCATGGTTTGAAATCAACCAAAACACAGCGAACTAAGGCACTATTACCAATTTTACAGAAGTCAACTAGGCTAATTATGTGTTCAGGAACGCCAGCGGTCAGTAGGCCTGTTGAATTGTATCCTATTATACAGGCACTTCATAAGGGACCCTTTATTAGTTACAATGAGTATGGAATGAGATACTGCAATGGTAGACTCGTGAATGGCAGATATGACTTCCAAGGCTGTTCTAATGCTGATGAATTGTCATATTTTATGGAGAAGGAATTTATGATTAGAAGAAGAAAAGAAGCTGTTCTAAGCAAGTTGCCTAAGAAAAACAGGAAAAAGATAGAATTGAGCTTAGAGAATGTGGAATTAACTGAAGGAATGGTTGACAACAAAACAGTGATAGGTAATGATGTTGCACTGGCCTATAGAAAGGCATGCGAAGTGAAAGTGGATCCAGTTTTAGCATATATTAATTCNTGGCAGATATGACTTCCAAGGCTGTTCTAATGCTGATGAATTGTCATATTTTATGGAGAAGGAATTTATGATTAGAAGAAGAAAAGAAGCTGTTCTAAGCAAGTTGCCTAAGAAAAACAGGAAAAAGATAGAATTGAGCTTAGAGAATGTGGAATTAACTGAAGGAATGGTTGACAACAAAACAGTGATAGGTAATGATGTTGCACTGGCCTATAGAAAGGCATGCGAAGTGAAAGTGGATCCAGTTTTAGCATATATTAATTCATTAGTGGAGAAAGAAACTAAATTCTTAGTATTTGCTCACCACAAAATGATGATTGATGCAATAGCAGAGAATATTAAGAGTATGAACATAAAATACATGAAAATAGATGGAAATGTACCAGTGGCAAAAAGAAAGATCTTAGTAGATGCATTTCAAAAGGATGACAGTTATAAAGTGGCCGTATTGAGTCTAACAGCTGCATCTACTGGATTAACATTGACAGCAGCATCATTGGTTGTATTTGCTGAATTATTCTGGAATCCAGGTGTATTGATGCAGGCAGAAGATAGAGCACATAGAATAGGACAAACTAAACCAGTAGAAGTGCTATATTTAGTATGTGAAAAGACAATAGATGAGATAGTATGGCCTTATTTATTAAGGAAATTGAGTGTATTAGAAAAAATAGGTCTCAGCAAAAATGAATTGAAGCAAATAAAGGGACAAACTACAGGTCAGAAAGCAATAGATGAGTATTTCAATATGAAATGAATGTTGATAAATTATCTAAAATAACGATTTATAAAAATGTAGTCAACCGAAGGATTAAATCATTCATTTACCAAATAAAGTATAATAAACTGTAATTGGCTTGATCCACCTTCAAAATTATACAACTGTATCTAATTAATATCGAACTTGCACTATAACGTTTTGGTTCTTTGTTAATTAAATATAAAAAGTATATCTTGTTAGAAATTATTTTTTCCAAATATATGCTATATTCGATACGATATTTGTTCATATAAATATCGAGACATGAAATTTTTAAATTACACATTCCTTTATTTCAAATAAATTAAACTCTATGTTTTTTATAAATATATTTGCATTTAGTATGTAATAATGTTGTTGATATACGTTCTCTAAACCATAACAGAATATAATTATATTCCATTGAGGAGAATATGCTGAAGCACAAAATACATTACAAAAATACAACAGTAAACGAAAGAAACACAATATGGTAAAATGAAATACAAAATATTTTGTTTCTTCTTTATAACAATGCTTCAATACAAAACCCTATCATTTTCTCGATATAATCTAAGCATTTGAAATAAAATATATGGCATTTTAAAAATGTGTAGAGTATCTACAAAACGAAATTGTGATACAGTGTCAATAAAACACCACTGTATTATAAATGTCATCTGAAATAGATTCTTTGGTTAATAATAGTTATAAAATGAACATTTTAGGTCGTGATAATTACCACCAATCAACTTTTTATAAAATCATTTAAAATCTTAGAAGCCCAGACGAATTAAAATATTGTTTGAATTGATTGAAAATACCAAAATTTTTAGAATTAGATACTAGAATAGTAAGAATTACAAATAAAAATTTAGATAAATAAACTAAACAAAATTAAACTGAATTAGTTAAATCAAATTAAAAAAATCAAACCACCGATTAAAAACGATCTTGCCACTTATTATTAACCTTAAAATCATGTTTTTGTTGTTTAATGACAATAAAGGGAATTTATGATATTTATAATACGTTATGACTAATTTAGAGAGTAAACTAGACACATATAGTTTAATATCATGTATTCATTAAATTATATGAATACATTATTCTTACAGCATAATATAGTTATTGAATAGGATATATAAAAATATATAGTGAATTCAAAAATTCATATAAATTAACTTGTTGGAGAAGATCAGATCATGCTTTTATAGTTTGAATACAATAAAATAGAATAGATCACTATACATTCAAAAAGCCTGCATTTTCACTAAAATGAGCGTATTTGAATTGGGGTAAAGCAATATATTTCATTTTAATCCTTTAAAACAAAAATAGTAGTGCTAAACAAAATAATATTGTTGTAGGCTTTATTTTTATTTTTATCTTTAACATTATGAATATAATTAAAGATGTGGCGAATGTTACTAGTAGTAACAAAATACACAATTGTTTACTCGAATAGATTTATTGAAAATAATCTCAAATGTTAGACTTTGTCTTAAATATTAAAATAACAATATTATTGATAACCCTGCATACTTAAAAAAATATGTTTTTACATAAAAGTTTACTCAAAAACATTTTTATAGCAATGTTATAAAGACACTCTAAGTATTTTCATGTTATGAAAAATATGTTTATAATACATTTAGATGTTTTAATTTATGTTTGGCCTTTTACATTTATTGATAAAATCATTAGTTTTTACTGTATTTAAATCAACGAACCATATATCATTCCTATAATATTTAGTGAAATTGTGTATTAAATGTAAAATAAAAACACGATATTATATTGTTCATAAACAAAGTATTTTAATTAATATTTAAAATACTTTGTTAGATTATAAATATGAAGCACACACTACGATATATAAATACAACAAGTAATTATTCATTGACAAATAATTTGATAATATCCGTATCAGCTGTATTTAATAAAAACACACAGTTTCACACAGTAAAATAAAAAGTTAAATGATATTATTCAGAAAATACATATAATGAATTGGTGAAGAGTTCAATTAATGATACGATAAAAGGATTTAATATAAAAATAGTGTTTTGTCATTATGTTCTACCTTTTAATAAATCATTTTATTTATTCGTTACTTAATTTTTATATTTAAGATAAAGTAGTAATATAAACTTATTATATAGTGTTGTGATCTGCGTTTATTTATGAAAATATTTTACAACGAAACTTTTTATTCAAAACATAAATGTTGGGAAATACATAAATATATGGTATAGTCAGAGCGTATACGAATATGTTTGGTATGTAACTGCATATAACATAAATTGAATGAAAAACATTTTTAGAATTGTTGAGTGAATGGTTTAAGTATCATCGTGTGTAACAAACCCTAAATGAAATCACGACATTTTAGTTCTATTAGATAAAAACAGCTAATAATTTGGAAAAAATACAAAACTTGTAAAATTCCATAAAACTAGTGGTTTTAATAATTCATAACTAGAATTTGTGTAAATAGAAAGCTGATAGCGCTGAAACTGTATATCTACAACCGACCTATAACAAATNTGGTATAGTCAGAGCGTATACGAATATGTTTGGTATGTAACTGCATATAACATAAATTGAATGAAAAACATTTTTAGAATTGTTGAGTGAATGGTTTAAGTATCATCGTGTGTAACAAACCCTAAATGAAATCACGACATTTTAGTTCTATTAGATAAAAACAGCTAATAATTTGGAAAAAATACAAAACTTGTAAAATTCCATAAAACTAGTGGTTTTAATAATTCATAACTAGAATTTGTGTAAATAGAAAGCTGATAGCGCTGAAACTGTATATCTACAACCGACCTATAACAAATATAAATTTTGTGTCTAGCTGTTAGTTTGATCGACCCTAAAAAGAGGGCAATATTGAAACTTTATTCCTCCACGGTTCGGTAAGGTCTAATTACAGGTTTTTAGAAACGGAATTTTCTCGATTTTTTCTTTCACCACAAGAATGAGAATAGATAAACTAAAATGTGAATGATCTAATTTTGATAATGGTTACCATATTAATACTTTCAAGTAATGTTTGTTAACTCGCCTTTGGCCTTTTTGTTTTAAACCACCAGTCATAAAATACTAATTGCCTTTTAATTTTCTGTCATTTTGTTTGATCTACTATTACAAAACCCAGTTGTTTTATTAATGAAGGCCCTTAAAGTCTTTAGTGTTTGTGCCGTTAGAATAATCAATTCTATATTTTTAAAATTTAATCTTATTACTGCGGCATTGGGAATATGATAAAGATATAATTGCGTTTATAAAAACTTTACAGTTGCCCACAATATCTATCATGCATATACAGAGATGTGTTATCATTTAATATGCTTACAAAAACCTTATTAAATTATATTAAAAATAAATATAATGATAAAGTTATACTTATTGTTTGTTATAGTTATTATTATAGAGCGCATAGTTAAATAAAACATGTAATAATTATAGTGTGTTATTAAGCAGAATATTAGCCTTATATGATGAGAAGTGCATAGAGTTATATATTCATTTTATCGTAATACCTATAAAAACTCTTTTACATAAAAATTCATGGGTTTTCAGTGAATTTTATTAGTAGTTTGTTAATAACTTTTGCATTTATTTTTTCAAAAGCAATACGGAGCATTTGGGTTTATAGACGTATAATTTTAATTTATAATAATCAATGTTGTGTATTTTGAATAAAATTATTTTATTTCTAAATTGGAAAAACGGTGTATATTAACGTATATCTATATTTCTTTACACTGAATATAGAAATGTATATGTATATTGATTAGCTTCAACAAAAATCAATATTATGCTATCTCCAGTATTAAAGTATGTTTATGTAATTTTCATTATTCTTGATGGTTGTGATGAATTTATATTTCGTAAGATATCATAAATATATACCAAAGAATCTTTTTAAATTACACAATCTATTTGGCATTGGTTTAGAATGCGTATTTATCAAGAAGTTTATCAACCAACAAATAGGAGTTGTAATTTTTATTAATTTTAACGATTCGTTTCACTACATTATTGTATTTTTTATTCTTTATTATAATGATATATTAAAAATAAAAGATATTCATCATAATTAATATATGGAACTAATTTTTATTTGACACATTATTTATATTTTTTTGTTACTTTTTTGTATATAATTTTAGGAAGCTTAATGTGTGTTATTACTATTTTTATTACTTATACCTCTATATACATATTGTAGTTTAGAGGCTTGTTATAATAAATATTTTAATATATATAAGATAGTACATCTATAGTGTATTAACTTTACTGGCTTATGATGTTATTATAGCAACCCACTTGTGAGAAAGAAATTCTGGATTCTAAATTTTACAGTGGTGTAACTTTTACATTTTTATGTTAAACGCAGATTTTATATGCTAGGCGACCTCAAAATCACGAGTAGTATGAATATCAAAATGTGCACCCGGTGTTTTTTCTACTAATGCATTTAAGCTCTGAGCATTATTAACCAACGCATAAATAACTTATTCATTTAAGTTGTATAACCAACAATGTTAATTATTGCACAAACCATATTGGTCAAATTGGTATAGGATTTTATAAAAACCAATTTTTGTTTATGAGTAAACGTAAAGTAAGAATGGAGTATATTATTGTATGAAATGTGAGTCTGTGCATATTTTTTGGGTCGATGAATATAATTGCGTAACTATATCAATATGTGTTGAATTTTTTAGGTAGTTGACAATGTTCTCAATTTTGAAGTTCTTATCATATGCAGGTACTTCAAGATTGTGCATATCAAGTAATATTTCTGGAAATATTATTATCAAATAGAATTTTTATCGACTAATAAACTTGTTTTAAATTAGAAAAAACCTCAAATATTCCAAATATCATCATGCGCTAGTTTTGAATTCATATGTTATTGGATCTTAAGATGATCTTCCACAAATTTAAATTCATCAAAAATCCGTTTAATCTTTTTACTCTAAATTTCAAATAATTTTAAACTTGCTCATTGTACAATGATGTTTATAATGACGAATGGACATTTCAAGTTCTTTTACAAATCAACATTATTTAAAAAATTAGTTGTTTTAATCGCTTGTGTTTTTAGCATGTTTATTGCAACATACTTTATGTTGAACGTAAAAAACGAATAGCACATTTTATTATATTTTAAATGAATTCCTATTGGTTATATTGCCTGCAAACATTCCTGTATTATTAAATGATGCATTGCTCTTGTATTTTAGAGCAAAAAATCTAGCAAAAGGGCTCAAAGCAATTTGTTTTTTGCGTAAATATGCGATATTGATTGTTTAGCGGGAAAATCATTGCACAAAGTGTTTCTAACAGAGTAAGTCAAGTTTGGCATTACACAGTAGTTACTTTACTTTGTCGCTTCAATAATTAAAATTTACACACTTAAAAGTGGATATTTTTGTTAAAAATATTTATTGAAGCACATATTTCACTGATTTAAGCTACAAATTCAAGTATGATAATTA